TTTGTTTCTGAAAAAAAGAGGTTGCCATTGAAACAATTTTCAAAGTTTTTCTTTAAGTCTGTGCTTTTAAAGACATTTTTGTTGTTTATAAAGTTATAGTTTTTTTTTTTTTTTTTTTTTTTTAAACGATATTTCAAAGTGCTGTTTTCAATGACAATTTCTGTCTCTTTTTTGGTGTGGAGTCTGAGGGGAGACCACCTGCAAGTCGTCATGAAAGCTGTTGCTCAGCGGCCCACAAACTCAGCAAATGTAGCTTGTTCACATATACCAGGTAATGTGGCTTGCCCTCAAAGACTCGCACCGCCCAATGGCTTGTAGGTAGCATAACTATCCATCCATCCATCTTCTACCACTTTATCCGGAGTCGGGTCGCAGAGGCAGCAGCCTTAACAAAGCCGCCCAGACTTCCCGATCCGCACACACATTCTCCAGCTCTTCCGGGGGGACCCCTAGGCGTTCCCAGGCCAGTCAAGAGACATAATCCTTCCAACGTGTCCTGGGTCTTCCCTGAAGCCTCCTCCCGGTGGGACACGCCCGGAACACCTTCCCAGGGAGGCGTCCAGGAGGCATCCGAAAAAGATGCCCGAGCCACCTCAGCTGGCTCCTTTCGACGTGGAGGAGCAGCAGCTCTACTCTGAGCTCCTCACCCTATCTCTAAGGGAGCACCCAGCCACCCTGTGGAGGAAACTCATTTCGGCCGCTTGTATCCGCGATCTTGTTCTTTCGGTCATTACCCAAATCTCATGACCATAGGTGAGAGGAGGAACGTAGATTGACCGATAAATCGAGAGCTTTGCCCCCTTGCTCAGCTCTCTCTTCACCACGATGGTCCGGTACAGCGGCAGACTGTAGATGCTGCACCGATCTGTCTGTCAATCTCATGCTCCATCCACCCCTCACTCGTGAACAAGACCCCGAGATACTTGAACTCCTCTACTTGAGGCAAGGACTCTCCACCGCCCCAGAGAGGGCAAGCCACCTTTTTCCGGTTGAGAACCTTGGCCTCGGATTTGGAGGTGCTGATCCTCATCCCGCTCCGCTCACACTTGGCTGCAAACCGCCCCAGTGCACGCTGAAGGTCCTGATTTGATGAAGGAAACAGAAAAACATCATCTGCAAGCAGCAGAGATGAAATTTGGGGTTCCCAAACCAAACCCCTTCTGCCCCCTGGCTGCACCGAGAAATTCTGTCCACAAAAATAATGAACAGAACTGGTGACAAAGGGCAGCCCTGGCGGAGGCCAACGTGCACTGGGAACAGGTCTGACTTACTACCAGCAATGCGAACCATGCTCCTGCTACAGTTGTAAAGGGAGCGGAGAGCCCTTAACAGAGGGCCCTAGACTCCATACTCCTGAAACACCCCCCACAGGACGCCACGAGGAACACAGTCTAGTGCCTTCTCCAGATCCACAAAACACATGTGGACTGGTTGGGCGAACTCCCATGAGCCCTCGAGCACCTGATGGAGGGCATAGAGCTGGTCCAGTGTGCTGCGATCAGGACGAAAACCAGACAGCTCCTCCTGAATCCGAGGTTCGATTATCGGTCGGATCCTCCTCTCCAGTACCCTGGAATAGACCTTACAGGGGAGGCTGAGGAGTGTGATCCCTCTGTAGTTGGAACAAACCCTCTGGTCCCCCTTCTTAAACAGAGGGACCACCACCCTGGTCTGTCAATCCAGAAGCACTGTCCCCGACTGCCACGTGATGCTGCAGAGACGTGTCAACCGGGACAGTCGCACAACATCCAGAGACTTAAGGTATTCAGGACGGATCTCATCCACCCCCGGAGCTTTGCTGCCAAGGAGCTTTCTAACTACCTCGGTGACTTCAGCCCGGGTGATGGATGAGTCCGCCTCTGAATCCACAGTTTCTGCTTCCTCTTCGGAAGACGTGACGGCAGGATTGAGGAGACCCTTGAAGTATTCCTTCCACAGCCCGACGACCTCCTCAGTTGAGGTCAGGAGGTCCCCACCCACAGTGTAGACAGTGTTGGTGGAGAGCTGCTTTCCCCTCCTGAGGTGCCAGATGCTTTGCCAGAATTTCTTCGAGGCCGACCGATAGTCCTCCTCCATGGCCTCCCCAAACTCCTCCCAGACCCGAATTTTTGCCTCTGTGACCGCACGAGCTGCTGCACGCTTGGCCTGCCGGTACCTGTCAGCTGCCTCAGGAGTCCCACAAGCCATAAATGACAGGTAGGACTCCTTCTTCAGCTTGACGGCATCCCTTACTTCCGGCTGCCACCACCAGGTTTGGGGATTGCCACCGCGACAGGCACCAGAGACCTTACAACCACAGCTACGAGCGGCCGCAGCAACAATGGAGGAGGAGAACATGGACCACTCAGCCTCCATGTCTCCAACCTCCCTCAGAATCTGGGAGAAGCTCTCCCGGAGGTGGGAGTTAAAAACCCTGCTGACAGAGGGTTCCGCCAGATGTTCCCAACAGACCCTCACGATACGCTTAGGTCTGCCAGGTCTGACCAGCTTCTTCCCCTGCCAGTGGATCCAACTCACCACCAGGTGGTGATTGGTGGACAGCTCTGTCCCTCTCTCTATCCGAGTGTCTGAGAAACACAGCCAGAGGTGTGATGATACAACAACAAAGTCGATCATCAACCTCCGGCCTATGGTGTCCTTGTGTAACGTGCACATGTGGACACCCTTGTGCTCGAACATGGTGTTTGTGATGGACAAACTGTGACTAGCACAGAAGTCCAACAACAGAACACCACTTGGGTTCAGATCGGGGAGGCCGTTCCTACCGATCACCCCTCTCCAGGTCTCACTGTCATTGCCCACGTGGGCGTTGAAGTCCCCCAGTAGAACAAAGGAGTCCCCAGTCGGGCCACTATCTAGTACCCCTCCCAGGGACTCCAAGAAGGCTGGATACTCTGCACTGCTGTTGGGCCCGTAGGCCGAGACAACAGTGAGACACCTGTCCCCAACCCGAAGGCGTAGGGACACGACCCTCCCATTCACTGGGGTGAACTCCAACACATGGCGGCTGAGCTGGGGGGCAACAAGCAGGCCCATTCCAGCCCGCCGCCTCTCCCCACGGGCAACGCCACAGAAATGGAGCGTCCAGCCTCTCTCCAGGAGTTGGGTTCCAGAGCTCAAGCTGTGTATGGAGGTGAGGCCAACTATATCTAGACGATATCACTCAACCTCCTGCACAAGCTCAGGCTCCTTCCCTCCCAGCGAGGTGACGTTCCACGTCCCAACAACCAGAGGCTGTGTATGCAGACCAGGCCGTCGAGGCAGCCCCCCTCGACCGCCACCCAGTCTTCACTGCACCCGACCCCTATGACTCCCTCTGCGGGTGGTGAGTCCACAGGAGGGCGGGAACACATCGTCCTTTCGGGCTGTGCCCGGCCGGGCCCCGTGGGCAAAGGCCCAACCACCAGGCCTGGCTCCAGGGTGGGGCCCCAGCTTCGCCATACCGGGCAACGTCACAGTCCTTGGAATTTTTCTAGGAGTATAACTACTGAGGTACAAATGGTATGGTATGGTATGGTATGCCAGAATGAACGAGTCTGTGAGCCTGAGCTCAGGACACAAACCCTGAAGTTACAGGTGCGAATCTCCCACAGCAGAAGTGCAGAAAAAGTTGTGTATAAAAAGACCCGCTTGACTTGAAAATAGTGATTTGTCTGTATTTCCAGCACTTGTAGCCAAATACTTAGATAATTCATCTATTAACATCTTTGTGTACATTTACAGATATTATACACACTGACAAATCTTTTTACGCATCAACAAATCTTTTTAAACACATTAACAGATATTACTATGGACACACAGATTGAGATACAGACAGAAAATTCCTCACACACATTTACAAATAGTTTTGCTACAATAATACCCTATACATGATGCTGATAATAGAAACTGAAGGCTGATCAGCTCCACTAAAGAACATCAGGAGGAGAGGCACAATGTTTTTTTTCTGTGCATGTGTTTTCTAAGAGACTTTAGTCCTGTTTTAAAAAGAATTGTTACATTTTAAATTTAATTAAATATCTTTTCAACTGTATTCTAAATATGAATTGTCTGATATGAATTATGTTTTCCTCTGATCTGACCTGTTCGATCAGACACTTCTTTTGTTTGAAAAGGTTTCTGTTTTATTACTTGACAGGCAGAGTAGGAGCTCATCTGTCTTTAGGTTCTGAATAAAGCAGTTGACATTAAATATTCCATTAATTACTGATGATGTTCAGTGTGTGGTACAGGTGAGGTTCAGGTAATACATTAATGTATCGTGATGTTTGTGCACCAATCAGACTATAAACCTCTGGATGTTTGAGGACAAACTGCAGGTATATATAGAGACAGAAAGTATGTAGGCTAACCTATTCAGTAATGTTAACATTAAACTCGATTCATCCGTTTATGAGGTATATTCAGACAAAACTCGTGGTCCTATGAAACAGCTCTGCATTACATGTTCACCTCGGCAAGGTTTAGTAACTCTTCAGTAATCTGTTTCTGCTAAGTTTTTGTCAATCCACTGATGTAACTAAGGACGAGACCTTACAGTTTAACCACATCACAAACTACAGCTGTTAATAAATCAGTGTCTCTAAAACATTAAATAAAGATTGTATGATGATCTTAGAAACCTCAAAATATATACATGTTCTTTATTTTCATAAAATGTAAAGCAACAGGGCTGTGTTGCCTGAACTTGCGTCAGTCAGCGAACTGTAGGTTCTGGAGGAAGGACAATGTCCTCTCCATAATCTGCAAATGATATGTAAATTATGCACTCCTGGCCTCCAGCCTCCTCCCCTCCACGCCAAAAGAGGGACAGAAAGTTATTGAAGTCATTGAAAACAGAGCTTTGAAAACATCTTTTTAAAAAGCCTGATTACCTCCAGACCTGTTCAATCAAGAAATCACTTAAACAGAACCTGTCTGACAAAATGAAGTCGGCCAAAAGATCTCAATAAGGTGCAACAAAATGCCGCCATCCAAAGAAATTTGAGAACAGATGAGAAATAAAGTAACTGACATCTATCAGTCTGGAAAGTGTTACAAAGCCGTTTCTAAAGCTTTAATTCAAAAATATACAAAAAAAAAAAAAAAAGAAGAAGAAGAAGAATTTGAGAAGGGGACAAATACTTTTTCACAGCACTGTATATATCTCATTTACCCCAGAAAATTATGATTACATTCTCTGTAATACTGCCTTAGTGCAGTCAGGGACTGGATTTCTCACAACTGAATACAGGTAAAACGAGAATTCCTGATTATTAGTCCAAACCACATTTCCCACAATATCGCCCCATACTTTGGACCTCAGTCAACCAACATACCACACTCAGCCAGACACTTGGGAGTAATTTTCAGTCAGAACCTCCAATTTAACCACCACGTCAAACATCTGGTCCAATCATGCCACCTACAACTCAGAAATGTTGCAACGATCAAACCAGTACTCCCCAGAAACGTTGCTGAGCAACTTATCCACACCCTGATTCTCTCACACCTGGAGTATTATAACTCAACATTCACCTGTCTCAATGATGCAGAAATCACCCGATTACAGATGATTTAAAACTCAAGAATATCAAAAATACTCGATGCACAGAACAAATAACTCCGGTTCTGGCAGAAACAGTAACTCCCACTGTAAACTGTTACCGAACTCAGTTGAAGATTCTGCTGATCACTGTCAAATGTCTACACGGTTTGGCTCCACTTGACATTATTAAAATGCATTATTATTGCTATCACCATCATCACTTTAACCTTGCTTATTACATGAACACACAATGGTTGGGCACGCTGCAGTGACCAACCATCGATCCTGGGTTTTAGTCTGAAGTGTCATACTAGTAGTGCAGATAAAAGGGACATTATGAATGACATCTACACATTTCTGTAGGAGCATGTTTTACCTTGACAATGCTAATAGGTTTCCTGGAGAGGTGGAAACTGGTGTAGAGCAAGAAGGTGAGGATGAAGGTGAGTGCTTTGTACCTGCAGGGAGAAGACACAAAAGACAGCACTGAGAACTAAGAGTGCAAAGAACAAATCCAAACATCACCTCTGAAATGAATGACATGTTCTGCTTCATTCACAGGCAGTTCATCGTAATGCCCTACTATGATTCAAAAATGTGATTATTTCAGAAAGCTTTCTTTGTCATTTCTCTGTGCATCTGTGTACACAAAAAATGAAATATGGTTCCCCTCAGCCTCCAACAGTACCACAAAAAACACATTAATCAACAGTAAACTAAAAGAGTAATAAAAAAAAAAACAAAGAACAAATACTAATTTGCTAGAAGACAAGTAACATAAAAATACTGAAACACAACAGTGGGCAGGAGCTCAATAATTCAAAGTGCTATAAGTTATTCTGTTAGCAGCACAGTATGTCTAAGGTGCAGTTCAGTCCAGTAGCACCACATTACGTTAAGTTGCTATCTCAGTGCAGGTTCAGCCAGGGTCCTTACAACATGTTACAGTGCTACAAAGCTCTAATAGTTTAAAGTTCTACATTCATGTTCAGATAGACTGTGACAGACTGGCTACCTGTCCAGGTGAACCTGCCTTCACCCTGAATCAGCTGGGATAGACTCCAGCAACCCTAGTGAGGATTAAGCAGTATATAGATAATGGATGGGTGGACTTGTACAGTTTCACAGATGCAGGATATCCTGAACCTTGAATGTGTACTTGTATGTGCAAATCATTTTGTTTACTTCTTGTTTTCAATTTTTTTAGATTCTATTTGCACTGATATGAAGAGCATGGGTCTTGCTTGGACCTCGTTTGGGTTTCTCTCCCCTTACATACAAGCTACAAAGCTAAACACCTTTTCATAAAAATAAATACCAGTCAACCTTTCAAAAACCCAGAAGGTGATTTTTCAATACTTGACGGCTGTGGCCCAGGCGGAAGAGCTGGTTGTCCACTAATTGCAAGGTTCAAAAAACTCAGGTCAAAAATCCCCCAACTAGTCGCAAGGTTGGGGGATTTTTGACCTGAGTTTTTCAGGTCAACTGATTTTTGTTGCTGTTGTTGTTTTTCAAATTTAGATGACTTAAACGTAAGGTAATACACTAGAGGCACAAACCAAAGTCAGACCATTCCTCTTCATATCACTGCAAAATCACTGCAAATAAACTCATTAACTCAAAACACAAAACTTGAACATATCACAAAGATCAGTGACTCGAATGTAATACATCGAAAACAGAAACTGAGATGAGATCTGACTGTGAAACAGACTTGGCTTTGTTTTCCATCATGGTGTGTGTATTTAGTGGTAATGAGGAGCTGAACAGTAACTACCAGCTGGCTGGAGAGCAAATATTTAAAGCTGAAACACACTAGGCAGATTTTACAGACTTTGCAGCAGACACCAGAGATGGACCAAGAAGCAATGGCAGAAGAGCAACTGAACACATTGTTAAGCCAGCGGTCACATAAAACAGTAAAGTTGTTGACATATTCCCAAATCCTTTTTCAGATTTTATCCCAAGACCACAAAATATTTTTTCCCCTTTCTGATTGGCTGGCAGGTGTCTGTTATGAAGGTATAACAGGACATCTGAAGCAACAAACTCCTCAAAAGTTAAACTCAAGTCATGATGAGAATATGCATGATAATTACGAATGTGAAATTAACTGATCTTATCTCAAATAAAACTATAAATAATCGTACCAACAATAGGAATGTCTCAGGCTGCGGTGACTGTTATCTTACAGGTGAAACTCTCCTAACTAAGAGCTACAAATAAACATACTTTGCTGGTAATTTGAACAGTCACATTAATCAACGTTCTTGCTTTGGTATAAGGAGACAATACGGGTATCACTACTCTTCCCGCTTTGACAAGTCCATTCATCTATGGTTTCCTTTTAGAATGATATAGGTGTACTTTTTGCTACATTAAGAAGTTTCCCTGCTGTGTGAAGGGGATGTAAATAAACAGTCATACCTACACAGTCAAGAGAAGATGTCTAATCAGCCACAATAAGATATCACCAGTGTGGGTTTTAATTAGAAGAAAATACCATTGCATGTCAGAGTCGCAATTCTTTGCTCAATAATGCAGAAGTGTATTTGTCTAAACAAAGACAGCCTTTAGTCGATTTTAATGTAGATCTACCAATTTTATGCAATGGATTTATTTCTATTATTAGGTGAAAGAGACATTGATGCTGTGCTCACTGCTCTCCAATCTGCAAGGGAATAAAACTGTGCTTGCACTGTGACACAAAACTACAATTCTCACTGTGCCCCTTCACCTGCACATAACCCACAAATGCACACACACCTGCTTTACTTAGGTTACTTTACTTTACACATAAGGAATTTTCATATAACAAGTTGCAGAGCCATCAGTGTCCTGGGCTGCTCCATTCTACAAAAACATTCATGCAAAACAACGTGTTTGCAGTTGGAGGTCTCCAACAACTCTAAAAAATGCAGTCCAGGTTCTACCCTAAAAGTTTCTCAACCTTCAGAAAAGTGTAACAGCCTGAATGGGTACTTAATTTAGAACTTGGTTGATCCAGAAAACACAAGTAGGAGATTTTAACCCCTGTAAAGCAGATTGAAATGTCCATGATACCGATCTGATTTTGATTAAGCAAACTAGTATCTCATCAGGGTCAAACCGTAATTGAAAATAAGAGTGGAAAAGAAAGCACATTCTTAATGTGACAGAACTAGAAAGTTAAACTATAAAACAAACTCTTCAAGTGGACAGCATCAGTGAGAAAAAGGGACTTAAGAAATAAATGAGCTAAAAGTGAAAAATGTACCATTTGGAAATAGACAAGAGTTGTGCATGTGAAACCCCAAGACATGAAATAAAATCTCAAAAGAAGTAAATGACTGAGCAGAGTCTGTTTCTGTGTACCCATAGTACATGGATGGTTTCACCAGCATGCACACTGGTCCAAAGAACCAATCTGCTCATAGAGGCACGATTATTTATTCTGACGTGGTCTATGAGGGCAGCTCTGTTACACAGGCTCATATTTCTGTAATGGGTTCTGTATGTACTTCAGCGAGTTCAGAACGACTTGTGCACAGAGTACAAGAGGCATGTGTCTCCCTAACGGTGAAATTTACCTTGTGGCATATACAGTTGAAACCAGAAGTTTATATACACTGTATAAAAAGACATAAAACCATTTTTTCTCACTGTCTGACATTAAATCAGACTAAACTTTTCCTGTTTTAGGTCAGTTAGGATTACCAACATTATTTTTATTTGCTCAATGCCAGGATAATGAGAGAATTTTTTATTTCTGTCTTCAAAGTCAGAAGTTTACATCCACTAAGATTACGATGCCTTCAAACTATTTGGGAAAGGCCAGATGATGATGTCATGGCTTTGGAAGCTTCTGATAGGTTCATTGACAACATCTGAGTTAACTGGAGGCACACCTGTGGATGTATTTTAAGGCACACCTCAAACACACTGCTTCCTTTTGTGACAACATGGAAAATCTAAAGAAATCAGCCAAGATATCAGGAAGAGAACTATGGACCTCCACCAGTCTGGTTCATCCTTGGCTACAATTTCCAGATGCCTGAAGGTTCCACGCTCATCTGTTCAAACAATTATGTCAAGTATACACACCATGGGAATGTCCAGCCATCATAGCGCTCAGGAAGGAGACGGGTTCTGTGTCCCAGAGATGAAGTGTTTTGGTGAGAAATGTGTGTATCAACCCCAGAACAAAAGCTGAAGACCTTGTGAAGATGCTGCTGAAGCTGGTCAGAGAGAGTCACTATCCACAGTGAAACCAGTCCTGTACCAACATGGGCTGAAAGGCTGCTCAGAGAGGAAGAAGACATTACTCCAAAAGCAACATAAAAAAGCAGATTACAGTTTGTAAGTGCACACAGGGACAAAGAGCTTCATTTGTGGAGACATGTCCTGTGGTCTGATGGAACTAAAACTGAACTGTTTGGCCATAATGACCATCGTTGCATTTGGCGGAAAAAGGGTGAAGCTTGAAGCCTGAGAACCCCATCCCAACTGTGAAGCATGGGGGTGGCAGCATCATGTTGTGGTGGTGTTTTGCTGCAGGAGGGACTGTTGCATTTCACAAAATAGATGGCATCATGAGGAAAGAACATTATGTGGAAATATTGAAGCAACATGTCAAGACATCAGTCTGGCAGTTAAAGCTTGGGCACTAATGGGTCTTCAAATGGACAATGACCCTCAGCATAGCTCCAGATTAGTTACAGAGAAGCTTCAGGACAACAAAGTCAGTGTTGTGGAGTGGCCATCATAAAGCCCTGATCTAAAAATCCTGGAGAACATTAGTGGGCAGAGCTGAAAAAGCATGTGGAGCAAGGAGATCAACAAACCTGACTCAGTTCCACCAGTTCTGTCAGGAGGAATGGGCCAGAATTCATCAAACTATTGTGAGAAGCTTGTGGGAGGAAACCCAAAATGTTTGACCCAAGTCATACAGTTTAAAGGCAATGCTACCAAATACTAAGGAAATGGATGTAAACTTCTGGCTTTGAAGAAATTAAGAATATTCTCTAAAAAATTCTCTCTCTCATTATTCTGGCGTTCAGCAAATATAAATAATGTTGGTAATCCTGACTGATCTAAAACTGGAAAAGTTTAGTCTAATTTCATGTCAGACAGTGAGGAAAAAAAGGTCTTCTGTGTCTTTTTATACAGTGGATGTAAACTTCTGGTTTCAACTGTATTTGTGAGCAATTTTTAAAGACTTCCTTATTAAATCAACACAAATGGGCTCAGAACTAAACGAGGAAGGAATGTGAAAGATTTTTTACCATGAGTAACGCATTTTAAGCTTTATCTTTTCTGTCAGTCCCCACACACCTTGGTCATTTCTTAACACGTTATGTAAACAGAAATAAAGGTGCAGGCATAATCTGCTTCATCAGGGATTATCTGGGATTAAAGGTAGCAAAATGTATAATGGTTATATTACAAGCAGGACAATAACCTAAATAAGAATATATTACGAGATTCTGTTATTTTAAGATAATATCTTACAGTTAGCTTGATTCACAAGCTAAATATAGCACCTACAAAGGGTGTGTGAAACCACATAAAAGCCCTCTGTAGAATGCAGTATTTCCTGTACAATTAGCTGCTATGCATCATCCACAGTTGCAAATATTATGTGAATGCACTGCCTGAGATCCCTACTCCACCCACTTGGACAAAAAGGTGCGTATAGCCTCAGTCACAACCGGACGCACCACTTTTGGGATCGTACGTCCTCTGCAAATTTTGGGTCCCGTGGGGGTCGTAGAGGTAGAGGAAAGAATGTGCTCCGTCAGAAAGGCACAAGTCTGCCTTGCGAGTCGCAGGGGTGACATGAGATGTCTGTTAAAGTGGGGAAACTAATAGCAACATGCAATTGCCGTGGAAATTGTACTCACTTCTTGAGTTTGTCTTGCCACCTGTGTACATGGCATGCACTCACCACTTTGGAAGAGAATGGAATGCACGGCGAAAGTGAGTCACACTTGCCTCACATGCTCATGATGACGTACTGACGGCGTACGTCAGTTTGGCGTGATTTTCAAAAAACAAAATAGAGACACTTCGGCAAACAGGTGACTTGCTGTCTTGTAAATTGTGCTAACACACTGACAGGATGTGAGCTTAAGAACGTCCCGTCATCCCGGGTGATAAAAAATAGATCCGGGATGATACAGATTGATTTCAGAACAAAAGTTAAAACTGTATAACAAATGGTGATGAAAATAAATATGGTTTCATGTTTTGTGTAGCCCCCACATAGATTCTGACAACTTGGAGGTGACAGCTCGCCTGCTGTGTCACTGTTAGCCCAGTACTGACTTCCAGCTGATACCAGCCAGCAGCATCTCCAGTGAGCCGACTGTTACACTCCTGGCGTAGAGTACGTCGATTTTGTTTGTGAGTTGCAAGTGCAAGTGCATGCACCGGGCTTAACACGAAAAGGGCACTTGCTCCCTCATTGCGTGTGACGTGCATCTTAGACCACGGATTTTCTTCCCACGGTACCTTTAAAATTGTACGACTTGCGGGGGGAGCAAGTTACACTTGCGGCATTGCAATTCGCAGAGAATTCGTAGAATTTTTTGGACATGTCCAAAGCCCTCCGTACGCACTTATGGGTTGTCTGCGACCTCAAAATTTCCGTCTTGCATGGCACGTGTGATTCTGCACGTAATTTGGACGCAGACAGATCGTAGGAGCCGTACGGCCAGTTGTAGTCGAGGCTTAAGTACTGATTACTAAGCTGAAACACTTCCATCTCTCAGAAATATCTAAATAACAGCATTTAATTGTATCACCTTATAGAAGTAGTCTTGAATAGGGAAGAGTACACATTCTAACTGCCCAAGGTCAACTACTGACAACTAAAATAGTTGGCAAACAATTCGCAGGCAGTCGGACATGAAAACTCATACAAGAGTGTAAATGATTAAACAGACACACACACAACCAGTCAAGGTCAGATTCAGATTTACCATTGATCCCTGTTGAAGGACACCAGGAGGAGGATTCCTGGAGGGACTGGAGCCATGTTTGGATGCAGGTATGGATTATCACAGCATTACAAATTTCCTCAGGCCAAGAAGGCTGCTGGGGCACATGCAGACATGGTGGTGCTGTCGCAGCTCATCTTCTCTGAGGAAGCTGCTGGAAACTGGCATCAATAGGAGAAAGCAGTCATACGAAGTAGTGTGGTTGGAGAGAAAAGTCAGGAATCTGAAAAGGTGAGAAGAGAAAAAGGGGGTGAGAGAAGGTTAATGGAGTAGGGAAGAAGCAGGGAAAAAAAGAACACATATCAGTGTTTTTTTGTGCAGCACCTAAGCAAAACAAAAAAGCAAAACAGAAAAACTATGTTGACTGTTCCTGTGCTAAAAGAGTGCATTAATGGAAGGTGCTCATGTTTTCAGTGAACAGTGAGCAAACTCATTTTTATATAAAGAAAATGAATGTGAGTCTCATTAACATGCACAGTTAAGAGAGTATGTGTTAGACTTTGATGGAGTGTAAAGTTATATACACTGATGCCCATACAGTTGGAATAAAATATTTTTTTACTTTTTCTCATGAAATGATTGTGACACTGCCATTTATTCTTCATAGATAAAGTTTATATCTTCTCAAAACTTTACTGATGTCACAATATACATACAATACATATCACAGTCGAAATCAAACCACAATTAACTTTTGCAAACTGTGTATTCAGACTTGTTTTGAACAATAGGATTAAGGGTTTTGTTTTAATTTTTCAACCTTAGTCCCTTTAACAGGAAACACATATTTGACAGGATTTCATGCATAAGAATGTCCATTATTACTCTTTCAATGTCCCTCAGTTACTAATATTGAGTCTGGCCACCCCTGACACAGAACAATGTGTTCAGACATCATGTCCACCAGCTGGTTGATGGTGTCAATGGGCAGGATGTCCCACTCTTCACATCCTGAAGTCAGAATTGGTTTCACTTGGTAACTGGGACTCAGTATGTAATCACTGCACCTGGTCACATTGATTACTGATGTGTAGAAATAGAAATAAAAAGAGGAACGTATCTGAAAACAACAATTATTCCAACTTTATGGACAACAGTGTAATTATGCACCTGACTGTGTGACACATAACAGAATGCTTGATGACTGTTTCTTGCTGAAATGCACCGTAAAAGCTGTGGTGAACCATCTTTAAGTTTTTCTGTACAGAAGTTTGTACTTTTTATCAGTAAACCTAAGATTTACCAAATGAGTTCTTATTGAGGATTTAACGTGGTGGGTTTCAAGATGTGCTTTAATCTGAGTCACATAACACTGTCTATGGGTAAAATGAATAAGGCTTATGTCTAGGAACAAGCACGCCCAAAACAGCTCTTCCCATTTTGCATTCTGCAGTATTGCTTTACCAATTAGTAGTTACTAGGGATTAATTAATAGCACTTTTAAACAGTGAAGAAATGAAACATGGATGTAGCTTGCACTACACAACTATTTTTAGTAAAAACTAAAGGATTTTGGAATTATGTAATTGTGTTGAGCTGTAATTATTTAATGAAGCTATGAAGCTCTTGCACATGGGCAGTCCGGCCAAGAAAGAACCGCCAATTTGAGGATCAATGTGGCTGTGAACTGACTAAATTTTCTTTTCAATCCATTGCCATCCTTTGATTATGTGGTAAGTACACAAATTATTAAACAATATTAAACAAAATGCTTTGGACTGCATCCGATGCATAAGACGAGTGTTTTTTAATTTTATACAATCAGTCATTTACTTTGAAGTTAGATTTAAAAAAACTGTGAATTGCTAACTTAACTCGCACTGTTAAATGATGAAATTAACCTCCTGAGACCCTGCGTCCACATGCGGGGACACTGTATTTTAGCCTCCCTGCATACTTCATTCTGCTCAACTTCAGCAGCTTTCACACAGTACACAGCACTCTGACGCCCATTCATGTGCATTGCTTGCACCATGAAACGATGGCATGCTGCTGCGACAAGCAAAGCACAAGCACAGCTCGCAGGTCAGAGAGACGGCATGCTCGCCGCAATCAAAGTTCAAATTTGTTAAACTTTGAACCTTGCATGCTACGATGTATGACTACGGCCAGTAGAAACGAGGTATCTCACCTGGCGTGGAGGACAAAGTGGAGGAAAAGCTGGTACTGTATATGTCTGAATCAGTCTGGTCTGAATTCCCCGAAATATATGACACAACTTTGCAGTTGTATTGAAAAAAAGTTTTCGTAATAGCAAAAACAGTGCATAAGGTTTTTACATTACATTACTATGTGAAGCACTGTGTGATGACATCTGTTGTGAATTGGCGATATATACATAAAATTGAATTTGGCTATTTGGTAGTGTTAACCCGCATGGCTAAAGGTAAGCGGACACCTCCATTTCTGGAGACTCCTTGCAGTCAAGCTTGTCCAGTGGGAAAATACTTTACTCAACTATTGTATTTTGGGACTTATTTGAGATACTTGTAATTTTTGTAATGTTAATTCCCTTGAATGTTTCCATGTCACGAAACCTTTTTTTTTTTTTAACTTGTACTCATACTCCACTAGAGGCAGATATAGTACTTTTTGCGCAGTTACATTTATATAGCAAGTACATTTAATCAGTAGTTACTTTTGTTTTGTTCTTTTGCTTTTGCTTGCCTTTGTTATGTAAAGCACTTAGTGCTACATTTTATTGTAAGAAAAGTGCCATACAAGTTTGATTGATTGATATTCTGACTTTACATTCTAGGAACAATATTTTTGGCATTGTGTGATCAAAGCCGTGATCAGCTGCAAATTCCAGATTTCCCACAAATTGCTTCAAAAATGCACAACTGCAACAACAGCCGTAATTCAGAGCTAGCAGTCCATGTTCAATATTTACTGTTATTTCTTGCTTTAGGTTATAAATGTGGAGATGCAAATGGTGTCCTGAAACTCTACCTACAAGGTATCACTTTCATTGGAGGTGAAGAAGAACCAATCACTGATCAAGACTAAATTGGAAAGAACTTTTCCTGTAGGAGACAGGAAATCATTCAATCATGCTGCCCCCACCATGATGCCTCCTGTTACCTCCACCAACCACAAAATGGAATATTTCATTGGTCCATTTGAAATGGAGGGACAACACGACAATAACTTCTAATAACTTGTTTAACTGTACACTAAATTGTATAATTCATCCTACATCCACCCAACCGGTCGAGGCAGATGGCCGTCCCTCCCCGAGCCTGGTTCTGTCGGAGGTTTTTTTTCCCCCGCAGGGGTTTTTGGTTCCTTCCCACTGTTGCAGACTGCTGAAGCTTATAGGGAATGCAAATGTTTTGGATTGTTGGGTGTTTCTGCCTTTGTTAAGTGCTATGAAAAATATGCGCTATACAAAAAAAATATTGAATTGAATTGAATTGAACTGAATTGAAAAAATTGAATTGAAATTCAGGACATGCCCTTTATCACAGAGTTCTGAGACAGATGGCCAGCTCTGTTTTCTGAGACTGAGGAAGAGTAATAATCCTTGCTGTGTATTTAATATGTTATATGTTAATCCATGTAGCAGTGAATAATTTGAAAGTCTTGATTTGCTAACCCTTATAAATGAAAATAAATTATTACCCTTGTTGCACCACATGAAGTATTGTGTATAATGCCACTTTTCAGCTGGAAATTTTATTTTGCATCACTCTCATTGTTTTTTAGGTAAATGCAGAATTCACCTGCATCACCACTGTTCCCCTGCTGTCCACATTCATGTCCAAACTGGATCATTACTCGAACCAGTTGATGAAGGTGTTTAGAAAGAAGGGTGGAGCAGAATCCTACTGTTGAAACATGCACTTTGTGTTTACCTTAAAAATCCTTAAAGCTTCATAAAGGACTTTGTGGTAAGATGCAACATACAATATGAACCTTTAGCTCAACAAATGCCTCTTGTCTGAGTTGAGGAAATTGTTATGGTATCTTCTGCTATTGTGTGACGATGGACCCTTTGTGCCTCTCTTAAGACATTTAAGGCTTTTATTTTCTTGATCATTTGAGCTTTGTCAATGTTTATGTAATCAAATTCCCTTATGATATTCATTTTAACACACACACACACACACACACATATATATATATATATATACAAAAATTTAAATAAAATATAGAATTTTATTTTTTCAACCAGCCACTAAAACAAGTCCATAACATACTGTATGGATAAAATTGGTCCTCTACAGGTGTTAGGGGCAAAAATGCCCTCATTAAAACCCATTATAACTACACTTTTGGACCACCGTAATAAAAAATTCGCTAAAAAATTATCTCATTATTCTGGCATTTAGCAAACAGAAATAATGTTGGTAATCCTAACTGATCTAAAACAGGAAAAGTTTACTCTGATTTAATGTCAGGTAGTGAGGAAAAAACGGTTATGTGTCTTTTTAATAGAGTGTATGTAAACTTCTGGTTTCAATATATACACACACAAACACACATATATACATATAGTGTGTCCAGATGTTAGTTTCCCAATGTTTTTTGAAGATAATGTGATTTTGGGGTAACAATAAGAGCAAACTGACAGCTGCAATGAGCAAAGTGTCAGACTCGCTATGTAATTCCTGCTTGACTCTTAATATAAGCAGAATCGTTTGCATGTGGTTCACACTGAGGAAAAACACCTGAGTTAATATTGGCATCTTTATTAATGGTGAAGGCATCCCACCTGTGTCACATTTGGTAGGTCATCTGCAATCTCAGTAATTTCAAAAGCATCATTCACCAGCTATCCATAGTAAGCTTTTTCCCTGTCTGTCTAATTTAAGGATATTCTGTGTGAGTTTTGAAAGGATGCATTTGTAAAACCACTAACAAAACAGTGTGGAAATTCCATTCTACAGAAATACAGCAAATTGTTTACTGTCAGTACACAAACCAGCAGATCACTGAAGAGCCTACAGCTACTGTGAGCAGCTAAAAATGGGTGCCTATAAGAGAGAAAATGCTTTACTCAAGGTCAAAGGAGGAGCACTTGGAGAAGGACAGTGACTTTTTCATATCTTCTACACCTTCCTTACTCCAAGATTTAACACGGCTGTTAAAGATTCCAACTAAGTCATTTCATTTGTGCCACAAAGCCTCGTCTCTAATCATGAAACTGCTACCTTTTCTATTTATCTAAACCCAGTGAAACACACTTGGCCTGATCTGCTGAGGGAATCGTGGTGGGTCATGAATTCTCCTCTTTCTGCAACAGGAGAACACGTCCATATTACAGTCCACAAATGCATTTCTGTCCCGAGACCTCGATCACTTGACTTTTATAATCACAGCCACAACAAACATCTGAAGTTCACATGTGACATCAATGGGTTCCTGGCTTAACCCTTGAGGCTTCACCTTCTGGAAACCTAAAACAGCTCTATGGATGAACTCTAGTGCAGCTTCTTGTGTTCAGCAATGAAGTCTGAACCAAACCCAACACAACCAATACAGCTGTGTCACAGAGGCAGATATGGATCAATCCTTTGTACTATCTCACTCAGCGACAGGGTTTGCTGAGGTTGAGAGGAGCATCTCAAAGTCAAGACGTGGACAGGATCCGTATCTGAGGGTACCGTATGGGCTGTCTGGAACCTCAAATCTGGACATCTTATACTTATTTCATAAACACATGCTTCAACGTGTTATCTGTTCTTCCACTTGTATGTCACATACTGGACATTCATAACTCGAAATATACTCGCATCACTCACGTACAAGCTGAAACGAGAACGGGCTTGTCAACACCGAACCTTAATGCGAAGCCTTAGCTTCCTGTATACTGTACGGGCAGCTAGCTGAAGCATTTCGGAGCTGGCCAAACGTTCAGCTGCCTCGGACGGCGCTCTTCGCTCCCGAACAGAATTTGCCATCAACACCGTGTTCCTGCTACCGAGCTCACCTCGAACTGGAAAGGCGACGGGTTCTGGTCGTTCGTGGCTTCAACTCAGCGACATGTCCTCCTCCACTTCCTGGTGTGAAAGCTCGGGACTGTCACCTCAGAGCCTCTCTCTCTCTCTCTCTCTCTCTCTCTCTCTCTCTCACACACACACACACACACACACACACACACACACACACACACAGCTGGGCGGACCGCAGCGCACGCGCCCCTCTGCCGCTCCGCTCTGACGTCACCCGGACGCCTGTCCCTGCGACAACATCCGGCAACTTTAATGTCATGTTTGAAAGTTCAGTTAGCTTCCTGGAAGTGTGTTTTGTTTTTACGATATAGGATCCGGTTTAGAAAGCAGCTTGGGTGAAAACGGAGAGTTTATTAATCCTCAGAAAAACGACGAGAAAGACTAGTCTAATCCAGAGAGACAGAGTGAGTCAGTTACTATGGTTACTATTTCTGTGACTTGCTGGTCGCCAGGTTTACTTCAACAAACTGACTTTTCTCACTGACTCCTTGCTTCATGCTGAGCCTGAAGCAGCCGCCTGACCATGCAAGTGCCTAAAACCTGCATTCTTTCTAACAGCCAGCAGGATGCGACTCCTCCAGTTGCAAAATGAGGTCAGATTGCATAGAAGTCAATAAAAAAATGACTCTAATTGTCTTGATCTATTACCCCGCCAAATTTTTTTGTGATGAATTTATGAACTGATCTTTTGAACACAGCATGGTGTTCATGGTGTAAATAATGGTCTCATTCACAGTAAAATATGTCGTAAATCAGGTTATGTTTTAGGGTAGGGCAACCTTGTGATTGACAGGGAGCTATGTGTGGGTACTGTTTTGGGGTTCTTCATTCATATCCACTGCTCGCTCATTACATCTAGATTTACAGGAGCAACATGGCAACAACAAAATGTCAAACTCGAGGCTTCTAATGGTATTCCACACTCTAATGAGCGACATCACAACAGGACTGTGAAAAGTTCTACAGATATCTTCTATTTTTGCATACGTGTCACACTTAACTGCTTCAGATCACTTGAATGAAGGAAAATCTAGCCCCATCTTGCCTCATGTGAAAACATAATTTCCCCCTTCGCAACCAGTATACCAAATGACCAAATTAATTTGGCAATTTGGTTCAGGTTCTCCAGCCACACCCACATATGATCATTGCCAGGCTTGTTGAATCTAAACGTCACTTAAATAGAACCTGTCTGACATTGTGAAGTAGCCTAAAGGGCCTGAAAAAGTAGCCCATGATGACACGATCTAAAGAGATTCAAGAACATACAAAACAAACTCACTGACATTTATCAGTCAGAAAATAGTTCCAAAGCCATTAGTGAGGCTCTGGGACACCAGAGAACCACAGTGAGAGACATTACCTACAAATGGAGAAACATGGAACAATGGTGAACCTTCCCAGAAGTGGCTATTATCAACATTTATCCAAGGAAGAGACTGGGCAAAAATGGCATCAATGGGAGAGCTGCAAGGAACAAACCACTCCTGATCAGAGAGAACAGAAAGACTTGTCTGGCATTTGCAATAAAAATATCTGGATGAGCCCCAAGATTTTGGGATAACACCCTGTGGACTGATGAGTTAAAGGTGGAACTCTTTTTAAAGACATGGGTCCCACTACATTTGGTGTAAAGCTAGTAGTGCATTCCACAAGAAGAGCATGATACCAGCAGTGAAACGTGGTGATGGTAGTGGATGGTTTGGAGCTGCGTTGCTTCTAAAGGGACCTGGATGACTTGGAGTCATGAATTCTGTTCTCTATCAGAAAATCCTCCTGGAGAATATCCGCTCATCAGTTCATGACCTAAAGCTCAAGTGTAAATGGGATATGCAGCAGGACAATGACCCGAAGCACACAAGCAAGTCCACCTCTGAAAGGCTCAGAAAGAACAAAATTCAGGTTTTGGAGTGGCCGAGTCAAAGTCTGGACTTGAATCCAATTCAGATGCTGTGGCAAGACCTTAAGAAGGCAGTTCATGAACGGAAACCATCTATTGTGACCAAATTCAGAATTCCTCCCTGGCGATGTAAAGGACGGATCACAAGCTGTGGCAAATGTTTAACTTTAGTTGTTGCTGCCAAAGGGGGCATAAAAAGTTATTAGGTTTAGGGGGGACAATTACTTTTTAACAGGGGTGATATAGGTTTTCAACAAATCTTTAATAAATCATCATTAAAAACTGCATTTTGTGTTGTGTGTTGTCGCTGTCTAATCTTAAGTGAATATAAATGTTAGTTTGATGAGCGGGAACATTTAAGTATAAGAAACATACAAGAAGTGACCTTGGGTGTCAAGATAGGTGCTTACAAATAAAATGTATTATTATTAAAAATAGAAGACATCAGGAAGGGGTAAATACCTTTTATAGCACATATATTTTATATATGGTCTGTACTTAGATATTGCTTGTCACTCAAAGCAATATGTTTCTCATTCACGCACACATTCACACACACCCATGGTGACTGAACAGCCTGCCATTGGGGGCAACTTCGAATTCAGTGTCTTGCCCGAGGATGCTTCAACATGTGGAGGGGCCAGGGATTGAACCATCAACCTTTCAACTATTGGGCAACCCACTGTGAAAGTCTGTCCTCATTCAAACACTTGATATTAAAGCACAATCAGAATGCATTCATTTACAGATGTTTATGTCTTTGGAAACATCACAAAAGCTATTAATTTGTTACCCAGGCACTGTAACATGACCACTTTTATGATCAATCTGTCATTTATCTTCAGCTCAACATTATTGAGCTCCTCTATAACACTGTGACTCTGTGGACATAAATGCAACTGTCAGGTTGTCAATCAGTTCCCCTGCCCTGAAACATTTACTGTACATCACTGTAATAATTACTGTTTATCCATCCATCCATCATCTATACACCGCTTAATCCTCTGTAGGGTCCCTGGGCTGGAGTCTATCCTAGCTGACTCAGGTTTAAAGCAGTGGACACCTGGACAGGTAACCAGTCTATCACAAGGCTACCCTTAGAGACAGACAACCAAGCACACTCACATTCACGCCTACAGACAATTTAGAATCACCAATTAAGCTCAGCTTGTTTTTAGACTGTGAGAGGAAGCATCTGGTGGAAACCCACACATGCACAAGGAGAACATGCAAACTCCACTCAGAAAGACCTCAAGTTAAGATTCGAACCCAGGACCTTCTAGGTGTGAGGAGACAGTGCTGGCTACTGCCCCACCATGCTAATTTTTCTGAAGCTTTGGACTAACAAGACCCTGATTGGTCAACAATCATTTTTCAGGTCGTTATTGGTTGCAAAGCAACATCAAATAAATATGGTGAGTGGCCCAGCTGCATAGTCTTTTCTTTGTTATGAAATACCACTGTAGTCTTTGATCCCTGTCAGATGAGCAGAACAGCATTCATGACAATTTACAGTATATGACAACTTAGAATTCAACATAAAGGCAAAAAGTGTGGGACGAATACTGATAAACAACACAGATGGACATATGTAGAATATCCAGAGGCTATGAGGAGGAAAAGAAGAAATGGAAGTGTGTCACTGGGAATACACAGTCACCTAAGATAGCTTTTCTTTTCTTTTCTTTTCTTTTTTTTTCTTTTCTTTTCTTTTCTTTTCTCTTTGTCCAGTAATCTACTGTCTCATACTCCAGTTCATGCGGTGGCGGTAATGCGCCTTTAAGCTGGTTTGCCAACCGCCAACCAAAGGAAGAAGAAAGAGTAGACGTGCGCACAAAGATTACGTCACATGCCTGCGTCAAACAGGGAAACGTGGGAAGAACTCGAGCGACGAGAGCAGAAAAAGCGAAGTGACTACACGTGAGCCGGTGTGAGCATGGCGTCGATTGAAGAGCCAGAGATCCAGTTCGCACAGAGGTTAGCCTCCAACGAAAGGCCCATTCGGACCAAGGCTCTGAAGAAACTGAGGAAATACATCAATGCCCGCTCACAGAGAGCGGCAGGTAAGCTGCTTTCTGTTAGCTAGCGAGCTCGGAAAACACTCAGTCAGTGGACAAAATGGTTGTAGGGGGACTGAGACTTTCATAGCTGTAACCAGCTGTTCAGTTTTATATAACTAGAGTGCCTGTGTGGAAGGTAAGTGGTACCAGCCTCCGTCATGTATTCGTATAACTACAGGAAATGGTAGCTGGAGCACACGTGTGGAGGGAATGTACTTGACTTTCCCTGCAGCTTTCTGTTTCCTGGGCTGTGTTTACAACAAGCGGCGACTTTCTTTTAAAATTCTCTAAAACTAACCATTAGGGAATGTTTCCTGGAGGTTCCCTAAGGGTTCCTGTCCGCTCCGTAACCGTTAGATCAGACTCTCGTATGTTACAGCTGACCGTCGTTTGACTTTAACGTAGCAACGATAACCGTAACGTAATACTGTTTCTGCAGTCAAAGGGTTTTGTTGTTTACACATTGTCTATAAAATGCAGGAAACCCACTGATAAATCACCACTGTGGTCGACAGTATGGATTACAGCTGAACTTTGACAGATATCAGTCACGATTTTATTGAGAATTGTCTTTTTTTTTCATTGCTTTTACACTAAAAGAACAACATAAAAATGATGATGTGATATTTGCTGCAATCTGTACAAAAATGCATGTTCCCTTCAGTCTGGAGAACATGATATTTTGAAATCTGTAAGGTCTATACCTTACTATGTTCAGCGCTATGTGATGACATGTTTTAAACTGCGCTGTACAAATGAAATTGAATTGAATGATTTGACAGTGAGTCTCTGTAGCACCACAGTGCATCCTTTATAATGCTATATTGTGACATGTTTGTCAGAGTTTACAAACAGAAACAGTCACATTTTTCATGTGAACATTGTGATGGCATGTTGTTAAAAGAAACAACTAAATCTCTCTCAGCTAGAATTCCCTGTACATAGCTTGATGTATGTCTTTCAGTTGCTCACATAAATTCGAGGCGTTTCTGCCATTTATTCCAAAAATGACGCAGTTTGTATTTTGGTGGTCTATAACTGATCCTTGAATATAGACTGAAACATTAAATGACCTATTAAGCAATATGTCCTCCTACAAGTCTTAACGGACCTGTTGCTCCTGCTGATGCCCTTCTACAGAAACCACAACCTCCAGTATGACAGCTGCAGTACTTTTTGTACTTTTCAGTACAATAAGAAAACAACACTGTTGTGTTTTTAAATTTTTGGTATCAACTTGGCATCAGGGTTTGTCTGTGTGTCATCCCTAGCATGCAGCTGTCCTTCACCCTGTGGACTCAGAATGATCTCTTTCCTCCTTTTTGCAGGTGGTTTCACAGGTGATGAGCTGCTCAAGCTGTGGAAGGGTCTTTTTTACTGTCTGTGGATGCAGGACAAACCACTGCTCCAGGTATATATTTTTTGCTTGTCTTGTTTGGCTTGCAGACCCGTACAATTGTAGAACATGCATTGATGTTTACATAAAGCATTTATGCCCTTTCAGTTGTTGTCTTCAGTATGGGGATGCAATCTGAACAAACACTGATCACCTTTCTCTAAAGCGTATCTTGGTAAACTTACAAGGTTGAACCTAGTGACACGTCAGTCTGAATAGGTTATTGTCAGATTTTGCTGCAGCAGCAAAAAATAAATTACCAGCTAGAAAAATTGACTGAGTATTTGTCAGCCTTTTTTAGAATACTTTTTATACATTCAGAAAGAAACTAAATAGTATTCACACAGAAAACATGTAAGAGCTGTAAAAAATATTTGGTCGACTGAGGATGCAGGGATCATAACTATGAAAACTCCTCACTCTTAACTGAATTTTGTAATTATGAATATCCAGCAGAAAGCTGAAACATGTCATACTCAAATGAGATTCCTGTGCTGTCCATCAGGGGTGTTTTTTAAATAAATTATTTAATCAGTAAATGTATAATATAATGCTGATTTTGATCTCTTCTCTGATATCAGCCTCAGAAATGTACTCTTCTTTTTTGAGTTCAGCAGTGTGGAACTTAGCACTCTCCCACAGCAATGACTAAATAAAGCCATTTAGTTGAAATGTAAGTTTTAAAGCTCCCAACACACCATCGACAGATAGATGAAGTCAGATGGTTTTGTATTTCGTGTCTGAAATGGTCAGAAAAGGAGCACAGGAGGGTAAGGTCTCATAGGGTGTTTTTTTTTTTGTTTTTTTTGGTTTTTTGGCTGGCAATTCTGTGCTTCAGTGCATTGATTTTGAAATATAATAATGGATCTAATTGCTATATATTGCACTTACTTAATTTGGCAGATTTACAACAATATAGAAAGAGATGTATGGGGAATGCAGCACTTTTGACATACTGTGCCTAAAAGAGTAGTCACTGCTAGCAGCTAGCCTCTTCAATCAGTACGAAAGATCAGTGGCTTTTGTGGTGGTCCCTGATGTCACTCAGCTGTCCCTCCAGTGAGACACTTGTCCTGCAGACAGATTCTAATCTTTACTGGCTTGACTGCAGCTGGTGAAAATAGTCCTTGTTTTGCTCTCTGGGAGAACTGCTGTGAGCTGCTCCAAACAGGATCTGCAGCAGGTGGAAAACTGGTTCATTCACTGTTGTGCAAAGCTCACAGTGTCTGCAGAGCACGGATGCTTAAAGTCTCTGTGCTTCGATAGCTGCAGTCCAAAATGATGAGGTCTGTGGGATGAGATTCACTGACGAGCCAGCCTAATGATACGCTCATTGTATGCACCTGTGTCTTGGGGTCTAACTTACTCTGTGTAAATAAGGTAGCGTTGCTGAAGAATGATCAGTACCAGTAGCCAGAGGACCAACATCCTGGCACATATGTCAAGGTGGCAGTCACCACTTTGAATCAAACCTTAACAATTAAAATCAAAGCAGAAAGAGGATGCAGAAATTTGTGAACTGGGCCTTGAATTAAAGTGCAGGGCTTTGTGTCTAGGCAAGTGCATGTACAACTATTCACATCATCACATGAGTTCAACAAATCTGTGGACCAATCCAAGAGATTGTCATGTGAACTGGCACACTGTTGGCAGAAGGACAGTCATGAAGCAGATGTAGCCCTGTAGCATTCTGTTTGATCACATTCAGACAAAATCATCACAACTCACTCAACCATGTTTTACCATTCACCAGGATAATTATCTCATACACATGACCAAAGCAACAAAAGAGCTCTTTTAGGTGAAGAGATGGAATATCCTTGCGTAGTCAGCCAGCATATTCAAGCCTCTGCCTCGGCCTTTGGTCTGCAGAAGACTAGAATAAAGGCAAATGCTGTGCACTTCTGTAGTGCTTTTCTGCCGTAATTGTATTCTTAAATTTCCTCAACTAGATTAATATAGTATTTTACTATTTCAAAGTGCTTTTTAGTGTTTTCCACACACACACGGCAACAAATAGCAACCGATCTGCCGTACACGACCCTTTGGAATGCAGAGGGGCCGGGTATCGAACTGGCAACTTCAACATTAGTGGACGACCTGCTCTTCCACCTCTCCCACCCCAGATCATGAGCTGAAGGTGTCTGATGAAGGTGTCAGAGAGTATTAATTCATTCTGAAGATACAAAGATTCTGCGGATATTTGTGCATCCACACTTTTAGTCATTGACATGAATGATTCAGCTGAAAAATGGATTTGATTAATATGAATTTTTTCGGCATTTATATTCCTCGTCAGTCCCTTGTGAGAAATGTTGTGGAAGGTCTCTTGGCAGTGAATGAAAACTTATTCGCCCTCCCTAAAATGTCATAACTGTTCAGTCAACCTCCTGTGGTTTTTGATGTTTGTGTTAATACTGTCATCACTTTTGCCGATAGGAGGAGCTGTCAAAACAGATCTCCAACCTGATCCACAGCTTTGGTGATACTGACAAACGTAAGTTGCTTTAGAGTGATTTCATAACCTTAAGCAATTTTTCAGAGAAGTATATCAGGTCACTGCACATAGCAGAAGCCTTGCCCTGTTTTAAGATTACAATGTGCTTCTCCCTGCAGAGTTGTTATACCTGGAGAGCTTCCTGCTGACCTTCAAAAGAGAATGGACTGGTATTGACAGGCTACGCATGGACAAATTCTTCCAGGTTTGTGTTAAGAGAATGTTGAATATGTTTTTCCCTTTAAATAACAGATGGAGTGAGATGCTTCACAATGCAATAACTGATGTCATTGGGTTAAAAATGTACACTCTGAGGTTGTTCCCTGATTTTCAAGAAGTGATTTCTAGAGATTAATTTAATAGTCTGGGTACATGGTTGCACCCAGAAATCAGTATTGCAGTAAAGTGTAATGTGTAGTAAAGTTTTAATTGCTTGCAGATCTAAATTCTCTTTAATATCTTTTCCCCAGCTGGTTCGCTTTGTGTTCAGACAAACTTTTGAAGCGCTGAAGAGGAAAAACTGGGAGAGCAGGTAATTGTTGCAAAAAAACATTTGTCAACATTCATATCATCTTATTTTGAAGCAAGTAACTGTGTGTTGTACCTCCACAGTGCGGTTTCCAAGTTTCTGGACATGCTGACAGCTCAGCTCTTGCAAAGCAGCAGTGAAGCGCCATGTGGGCTGCAGCTGCACATCCTGGACCTGTACATGACTGAACTGGCAACCGTGGGCTCAGCAGAGGTACAGCACAGCCACTGCTCAATATGACTGTTTTGATACTTAACAAAATCAGGCAGTTGACATTTGTGTGAAGTTTGTGCTGTGGTTTGTTTCCATGATATCAGCAGGCTGGCCAGATTCATACAATTCTACTGTTGCCATTGTTTATCAGTGACTGATGTTAAAGGACATGGCTTTGATACTTATAGCACCTAGTTGCTGTTTATGATAGCAGAGGCTAGCAGGCATTATTGTACTAAATTATATGTGCTACTGTGAACATAAGTTTACATACACTTGACCATATGTAACATGGCAGTCTTGAGTTTCCAGTGAATCCTATTACACTTAATTTTCTATGATGGAATCATTCAAAGTGGTTTCTTAACAGAGTCATATAAATGAGTACTGTTGAATAGATGTAAAAGCTCTGTAGTTCTGTTTTCTGTGTTGCAAGATGAATGTGAAGTTATTCTTCCCCTCCTGACGGCTTTACAAGTTTGCCAGAATTGCTCACTGTTTTAGTCGTGTGACTTAATTCATTGAAGCAAGGGGCCTGCATTTTTGATTTAATAAATGACACAAACTAGTCAATTGTCAAAGTAGTCATTGTGAAATTTGGCTTGTCCATGAATTTATCACCAATTATCCAGATGATAACAGAGGACTTGAGCACACTGATGACTTCAGCCTTTAAGTGTGCAAACAGACAACCACTTATGTCAGCTCAGCATCATGAGTAAATACTGTATATTAATACTGTATTAATGTGGGCAACAAATGAGTCTTTTGCTTTGCTTTCCAACAGCTCACTGCTGATCAGAACTTAACATTCATCGAGCCGTTCTGCAAAACAGCAGCTAAAACCAAGAAGTAAGTTCACGCCGCAGATTACGCTGCATGATCCATAGTAATTCTGTGTAGTAAATATAAAATTTTCCAAGAAAATAGGAATGAAAAAAACATATCGTGATTAAATAACTAAAACCTTACACTTGTCTTTGTTTACCTAAACTCCAGCAGAAAGTTCTTCTACATTTACATGTCAAAGTATCTGTCAGCTTTGCATACAGACACAAATGCAGGTGTGAACTAGCACAGAAGAACTTACCCTGGAGCAGCTTGCTCTTGTGTTTAGTTGAACTGCTTGCCTGATCACTTCCCATGTACTTATTTTGTCATTTGTTACCTCTTTTGGTGTCTGTTTCTCCAGTCAGACTCTTTTCAGTGCCATCTGCAGGAGCATCTTTAGCACTATTATTGACCAAGCTCCATTTGCCATTGAAGATTTGATGAAGGAAATGAAAGCAGCTGAGGCCTCAGATTCTGACTCAGGACAGGCTTCGGATGAGGACGAAAACCAAAGAAAAAGTAAAACAAGTACCAAACTGGCCAGCAAGAAAGGAGGAGGGAAGCACATCAGTGGTATGTTGCTACAGAAAAAGTATCACCCCAACTAGATTCTTGCTCAGTAGAGGATCAGAAACGTGTCAAACAGAGTTGCAGAGTTATTCCCTAATTGCTAATTACTAATTTGATTTTATTACTAAATTTTGTTGCTAAATTACTGCATTTGTGTAAATTAATTCAATGGAATGTAGCATTTTACAGTATTTATAAGTCCTTATTTCTGGTTTGTGGTTGAAAGTTTAGTTAAGCCAAATTTACAAATAGGCATTACTCCAGCCACACAGACCATCTGTTACACCAGAGCCTCCATTATGCTTAGTAAATACTTTACTCCTCTTCTGGGGCAGTAAGTACCACAAACTATGATAGACAGGATGGCAAGGACGACATACCACCACTCCGCCATAAACATATACACTTTGGAGAGAATCGCGTAAGAGCTGCTTGCTGGCACCCACTCAGACTCCTTCAAAGTTGTATAAAGTTGAAGAACTGGCTGGCCTCCATGTTTTCTCAGCAGGGTCACAGCAAGTCCTTCAGTTGCTGCGTGGGGCTTTTAGCTTGGGCTAGCAGCACTGTAGACGGCTGTACTACGAAGTAAGATTAGTGGGTTCGCAGATATGTTGATCCTAAAGTCAGAGTTTTCTGTGTCACGAAGGTGGCTCTCTTTTTACCTGGTTAGAGCTCCATGGTAACTGATGCTATGGAGCTAGATCTCTGTGGTAACTGATGCTGTGGAGCTAGATCTCCGTGGTAACTGATGCTGTGGAGCTAGCCTGGTCAGTAGCAGGTTCTGTTTGGATTTAAATTGGCTGAAAGAGCGTCTCCCTTTAACCAGATCACTACCTGACTATTATTTATGAGCGTTACAGACTCTCAGCTGAGGGAATATGTTTTATCTGCAAAAATGCCGAGTTGTGCGTTACTAATATCACTGAATGAAGCCGTGTAGTTTCAGCATCACACACTGTAAATATCACGTTGCCATGGGAATCAGACATGTATTTAGTTGGATAATGCAGAAATCCCATAAATACGTTTTTATGTTTGGCTTTGATTTGCTGTAAAGTCTGTTTGCTCTGCTGCTACTGCAGCTGATAGAAAACAGAAAACATATTATTCTGCTGGTATTTTTTACAGAGAATATTCAATCAAAAACTTTGATTTCGCTTTGATTTGGCCAAAATTAAAGTGATTTCCTGCATTATGGGACAGAGTCAGACCTAAATGTACTTCAATACAAGATCATGTTTAAAGTTTCACTTTAACGTGCAGCTGTCAGTTGGAAATCAGCGGCTGCAACAGTTTTCTACCAGCAGTTCTGTCTTCACCATTTGCAGTAGCAGCACTTTTTACAGTCATAAATGTTTATATTCCTCATTGTTCTCCATTTTAAAACATTGTGTTGACTGAAGCAGCTGCACACAATCGTTTCATTTTGTGCAGAAGAAGAGTCACGTGACGCGTTCAACATCTCCTTTAATGTGAACAGAGTTTGAAGCAGAAGGTCTGAGTTAACACAGAAAGTTGAACCACCTTCATGATCCCTGTGATCTCTGGCTGGAGTTTTAGTTTTTGTTGAGCCGACAGAGAAAGCCTGGATATGTTAAAACTTGCCCTCAGGTGTCCATGTCACTATCTGCTACACTGTGTGGTGGCCAGCATGGGCACATCTCATCCATGCTTCACCTGTCCTCAGTAATGTAACAGTGTAACGAATTGTCTCGCATCATTTATTTATGCATTGTGTTATTACAGTTCACTGAGACTGTGTGTGCTTGTCTGAGCTGATGTAAAATGTTTGTGTCATATGATATGTGTTTCAGCATTTGCTATTTGGAAATCAAATTGTGCTGTTTCATTTGTTTTCAGGCAGTAAGTCAAACGAGGAGGAGGAGGATGATGATGATGACGACGACGACGACGGTGATTATTTGGAAGACTTGGACACAGATCTGCCAAGTGATGACATCGGACCAGTACTCCAGGTGAAAACTTCTTCCTCTGGCAGACCTGGCTTTCTTTCTTTCCATTTTTTATTTAGGATCAAACGGTTGACAATTTTGTTTTTGAATACTGATGTCCTACTTGGATTTCAACTCAAGAAAAAGAGCCACAGTGATGGTTGTGCATATAAGAGCCTGTCATCTACAGGTCACAGAAGCCCTTTCAGACATGCACTGCTTTCCGTTCATCTGACGATATCTGAACATGGCTTTTTGATGTCTGAATGAGCACACTGCTTACTTTTTCTTAAAAATCGCAATACCCTCCACTAATCACAAGGTTGACGGTTTGATCCTCGATGCTCCTGATGGCAGGTGAGCGATTTAGGGAAAGTTTTTTTTTCCTTTTTCACTTTCAATTTAACGTCTATTAGAAGCTGAAATGTCCATCGATACTTACCAACAATGGATACATAACAGGTTGGATTGAGATTGACCCATAATTTATGTAACCCAGGTTTTGACAAAACATTAACAGGAGTTAAAGTTAAGTTGGTAGCTTTCAGCTGTTTGTAGATTCTTTTATCTAAGTTTATTAAATACCTGCAGTTTTAGACAACAGCAGACTCCATATCAGGCCTCCAGACTAACTTTTTGACCTAGGAGCACTGTGCTGTGTTATGTTTCATATCTACATTCTTTACACATACAAGCTGTAACCCACAAAATGCATGTTTCTTTTTCTTTTCTTTTCTTTTTTTTTTTAAAGTTATTGCGGTCTTACCTTTACCTTTAAATGAAGTCCATACTCTGCTCCTTCTGAACAAAAACATCCGTTGCTTTTTTGTAAAATGTCTCCTTACCTTCCTTCGCTGCACTTGACTTGCTAACTGTAAATCGTACCTAGTCTAGTTTGCTGTCACTCTGCAGCCACAGAGCCACAAGAAGCATGTCTGGGATGACGAGCGCACCCTGCCATGAGGCAAGAGAACTGCCTGCCTCACCTGGAACCTCTTCTCAGCCGTTTATGATCGCTCAGCACATGAAACACATTACACACATACAGTTGGTAACAAAAAAACACTGTACATTATTATATACATCAGCTGAACTATGGAAAATCAGTTCATATATTAAATTTGTTTGAACCATGTTATTGACGACATACAGACAGCAGCACGCTGTCACTGCAGGCAGCCAGTGTAGGCAGCGAGGGATTGTGCTGGCTGCCTGCAGTGACACCCTACGCATGGCAGCCAGCGCAGTGAGGGATTGCAATTCGCTGCTGCCACACCCGCTACTCTTCCAAGCATTGGAATGGGAAATTTTGAAAATTCAGCGATTTTGAATTTAAAAATCATCAAAACTGACGAGGCTAAATGAAAAAATAAATACTTTGTAGTACAAATCACTGGATACATATAACCATTTCAATTGTTTTATCATTATATATTTTTTTCTTTCTGAGATGCCAGGTGAGGCTTTGCCTCTCTTGAAACAGAAGGCTGAGAAGCCTTCAAAAAATACTCAGCAATAGAGCACTTCATCCTGTCTGAGAAAGGTCACAGGGTCGCAGAAACTTCTAGCAAATCATACACATGCTTACTAACCGTGCTTGTTGTTTGTCTTTATCAATTTGTTCCTTGATTCGCTGATAACGGTCAGCTGATCATTTAATTTTTGCTCATTTTTCTATTGGCGCACCGTGCGACCGTAATTTCAAATATAGTTGCACCCTTGAAATTCCAGGCGCATATGCGACCATTCCAGGCGCAGTCACGAGGCTTGTATATGAGCGTCTCCAACGAGACAGAGTTCCATGCATTTAGACACATGGAGCAACTGTAGTAACGTAAGTCACACTGTGTGCTTTTCTTTACTTCAGATGGGTGAGCTGTCACACACAGGGTCACAGTTTATTTGTTATACAGCAGCCATCCTCAGGATGAGGGCTGAACTCCATCACAGCTGTCAGGATGGTTTTCATCTTACTGTTAGCAAAGTAGGGCTGGACCCAAATAGCCCAATATCCGAACATTCGGTCGCTGTGCTGGTATCGGGATAGCAATTTTGCTCTCTGAATAGTGAAAATGTGCAAAAGCATGAAAGAACTAAGTTGGAAACAAAGCAGTTGAAGGAGAGTTGATGACTGTCATTAAGTCTTGAGCTCTGATTATCTGCCTTTTATGCATCAGTCTGCTTTGTTCTGAACAATATTCTTTTCTCTTGTACCAATAATTTTCACAAACCATTCATTTTTATTATTTATATTTTTATTTATGTCTTTCTGGAATGTATTTCTGTATGTTGGGTCAAGAACAAACGTTTACCTTTACATGTAAAGACTATGTATATCATGGCAATCTTAAGTTTCCAATGACTCTAATACTGAATTTTCTCTGATGGAATCACTGAAATCATTTTTGTCACAAAAAACAATCCCGCATTTTGGTTCTTTGGGATATTTATTATAGGTTTTCTAGTAATATGACAAATTCTGCTGGGTCAAAAATATGCATACAGCAACTTGAATTATCAGTTTTGTTGATGTGGAAAGTTGTGTTAATCACATTTTCTTACAGGTATAACTTCTTAACATCTTACTTACTTACAATTGACGACAGCTGTTGACTTCTTCAAGCCTATTTAAAAAGAGCGCATTTGATACACTTATTAAACTACACTACAAACACTACAATGGTAAAGTCTGAGGAGCTGAGCATAGATCAACCAACGCCCCCTTGATCCTCACCCTAACCCTCACCTGAGTCAGATGGCCTCCCTCCCTGGTCTTGGCTCTGTCTGTTTTTTTTTTGGTTTTTTTTGTCCTACTCAGTACAAGGAGAGGTCTTTGGTTTCTTCGCACTGTCGCCAAGTCTTGCTCATTCAAAGGAAACTTTGGATTTGTTGGGTTCTCTGTTTACCATTTGTAAGGTCTTTACCTTGTTATGTGAAGTGCTATGAGATGACCTATATTGTGAACTGGCACTATTTAAATATAATTGAATTGAACTGAATAGGTCTGAAAAAGTAAATCATTGACTTGAACAATTCAGAAAAGTCATTAAAGAGCCATTTCCAAGCTACAGATCCCAACATCATCTGTGCAAACAATTGTTTGTAAATGTAAAGTTCTTTGTACAGTTGTGTCACTGCAAGGATCAGGACAAAATACAAACTATCAGCTGCTCAGAGACGATTAGTCAGGATGGTCAAGAGGGAACCAACAATCACCAAAAAGCAGCTTTGGATAAATGAAAAGCTGCTGGAACGCAGCTGTCATTGTCCACAGGGTTTGACATCAACATGAGCTGAGAGGTTGATGAAGAAGGAAGTTCTTCCTCTAGAAGCAGAACCTTAAAGCTCCACTGAATTCTGCTGCTGGTCACATGGATAAAGAAAAGTCCTTCTGGAGGAAACTTCTGTGGCCCGATTAAAAAAATATTGAGCTGTTTGGCCACAATGACCAGGAATATGTTTGATGGAGACAAGATGAGACCCCTAATCGCAGGAAAACCAAATGTACAGTCATGCATGATGGTGGTAGTTTGATGCTCTGGAGGTGACAGTTACCCCAAACAGAGATTAAAATGGAAAGGACACTGCTAAATCAGACTAGAAATATGGATTTAGACCAGTCTTCCCAAAGACTACACTGAGAACCTGTGGACTGTTCTGAAGAAACCAATTCCAACGAAAGGAGTAATCATTTTTACCAAATATTAGTGTTGCTGTATGTATATTTTTGAACCAGTTGCTTTCGTCATATTTCCAGAAGACCTACAATATATATATCTATGAAAGAACCAAAACACATGATGGGGTTTTTTGTGATAAAGATGCATCAGTTGAAGTGATTCCCTCATAGAAACATCTGAGTTATAGGAGCCATTGGAAACTCAAGACTGCCATGCTATACATGGACTTTACAAGTGTGTATTGTTCACAACTCTTTGGTGATGAAAGACTTTTTTTCTATGAGCTGTTTGTGTTTTTTGCAGTTTGACTATGCAGCTCTGGCAGATAATCTGTTTGAATTAGCCAAGCGGAACAGCACACCAGGCCAGAACAGACAGAGACTCTACAGAATTATCAAAGTGTGAGTAGGATCTCTACACTCAAATATGTGTGTTCTTCTGTGTAATCACCATCCCCTGTATAAAAATAGAATGATGGATAGATAGCTATATACTGCTCGAATGAGAGAATACCTCCAGATCTAGTTTAACCCTCTAAACTCCAAAACCTACCAGTAAATTTGAAAGGCATGTTGTTTGTCAACAGTTTCCAAAATGACATTTGTTAGAGCTGGAAACTGTATCAACCTCCAGATTGTCCTTTAACTACTCATGTAATGTTCAGTTCTGTGGGAAAATGTAATCAAGTCTAGGCTTATAATCTTGACATTTTGTCAATATAATTTCATTCTGCATGTCTCTTTTCAGAATTAGCTAAAAGAAAAAATACACCATTTTCAACAGATCCTGTAAAACAGAAAAATGATAATCAAGTGAATAATCAAAGAAATCCAACTTTCTTCTCAACTTTTTTGTTCTACATGTCTTATTTATTTAAAAAAAAACAAAAAAAGCCAGAAATGAACCATTTGCATGAACCAGATTCTGTAAAAATCTAAAAACTTTGCACTCCTTACCACAACTGAAAAGCCATGACGGACTCTGTTACCAACAGTCACATAGTCTAATAAATAAAAGAAAAAGTGAGAAATATTTATTTAGAAGCATTTCAGTTTGAGGTAGTGATACACAACCAGTAGCAAAGTATTTATTAAGTGCTTGGACGGTTCATCTAGCACCATTCTTCTTGGGGTGGTGGTTTTGGCACTAATCTCAAAAAATAAATCAAAGTGGAGTTCAATGCAAACCATTAACAATGGTGAGGGTGTCTCTCAGCTGCTCTGCTGGTTCTCCCCTTCAGCGATTACTATTTACAAACAAACAAGTCTACCGATTTTAACTTTAAATAAGGTATAAAGGCTCCGGTCCTGAGGGAATGTATAGTGCTGTGAAAAAGTATTTGTCGTAAGGCAAAGACAACCCAAGAAAACACAGAATGCATTTTTTAAATGATCATTTTCATTTTTTGAAGGAAAAATGCTGTCCAGCCCGATCTTGCCCCATGTGAAAATGTAATTTCCCCCTTAGCTACCAGTATACCAAATGATCAAATTAATTTGGCAATTTGGTTCAGTTTCTTCAGCCACACCCACATATGATCATTGCCAGGCTTGTTGAATCTAAACATCACTTAAATAGAACCTGCCTGACATGGTGCAGTAGCCTAAAGGGTCTCAAAAAATGGCATCAATGGGAAAACTGCAAGGCACAAACCACTCCTGACCAAGAAGAACACAGAGAGTTTACATGACGATGTAAAAGACAGATCACAAGGTATGGCAAACATTTAACTGCCGTTGTTGCTGTCAAGGGCGGCCCATCCAGCTTAGGAGGGCAATTACTTTTTAACAGGGGTGACACAGGTTTTCAGTAAATCTTCAAATTTATTTTATTTCATTTAAAAACTGCATTTTGTGTCTTATGGATAATCTCTGTCTAATATCAAAATTAGTTTGTTCTGGAACATTTAAGTGTGTGAAATATGTGAAAATAGAAGACATCAGGAAGGGTGAAAATACTTTTTTGTAGAAATGTACATTTTACCATGAGTGAGCTCTGTGTGAACCCACACTAATAGCTTTTCTTCTTCTCTCCCACCTTTTGTTGTGTGAATCTCAGACTGCGTGACCTTAGTGAAGGTAGAGGCCTTTTTTCTTCACACTTGACGCATTGTCAAACAAAACAGTTGTTCTTGATCTTTAGCCTTGTCTTGGCACGCGCTTATCTCTTTGAAATTCCTATTCGTAGGCATCTTTCCTGAGAGTGAGTATCCAGAGGAGGTCTCCACAGATGAGGACGATGAAATGTTTGGCAGCAGGAAGAGAATGAAGAGAAGAAGAGGTCACAATGAGGATAATGAGGCACCAGCAGCCAAGAAAAGTAAAGGTAACACAGCCATGTGACGGCATATTATACTGCCGGTCCACCCTATGAAAACAAAACAAAAAAACATGCAATCATGTCTTTGACAGTGACTTGATATCGCAGATGCCGCTGCAACCGGGACTACATGTAACAGTATAAACTTAATAGAAATGTGGTGTGAAGTCAGGAAAAATACAGACAACATGCCTTGCTCACCAGTTGGTGGGTTTCTGTTTGGTGTGGTTAAAATGAGGATAGATTTTAAATGAGAAGTACTCAGCTTTTGTTTTCTCCATATAATAATTCCTTCCTGCCAACAGCCATCACCTTAAAAAACAAATCTGACTGACTGAATGATTGTTGTTGTATAGAATATATGTTATATTGATTTAAAAAAAAAAAAAAGTGAGCTTTTACAAGATTGAATTTCCCTTCTGGGATAAATAAAGTATTTTTCATTTCATTCATTTCATAATGTATGTAGCCATGTTGATCCAATAAGCTGCCTGGTCATTTCATCCATAGTGACACCTGGATGAGCGCTATCTGATGTTAGCGTCAGGCTAGTTTCCACCGACTTTTGCGATAGTACTTTTGCTGCTGTCATTTTCCAGAAAATTTTAAAAATAAACGTTTTTGCCAGCAAACTTGCTGCTTCTAAATGATGCTACCTTTTAGATTGTCAGCTTTGGTAGGCACTCTATAAACATGTTGTGTAACTATGTCGTGGTCTTGTGTGTGCCTACATCTATTTAGACTTCTGTTTTAAAAGTGAAAGTTACTAGATGCCTTTCTAGGTTATATAAAACTGAGCAGTGTGTTTATTTAGACATAACAGCAACACATTACATTTCCATTGTATCAATGGAAAGGGGCTCACAACTGAAAAGGGCTTTACTCTTCTCTGTTGGGAATTACTCTGTTTCCTCTACTTTCTTTTAGCAGCGGCGGCCCGCCATTCCTAAATTCTAGCCGCCGCTCATTCAAATTTATTTTTTAATTTATTGTCGCAAATACACCACCGCCGCATGTCTTCACCTTCACAGCAGAGTCCTGCACAGGGTCGGTACTCACGAGTACTAAGCTAAACTACAGATAGCTATCTTGCTCAGTATCTACTCTTTGGGGGGTTCATACGACGTTAATTACTGGCGAGTACTAAGGTAAACGACAGATAAATATCTTGCTCAGTCTCTGTTCTTTGGGAGGTTAATACGACGTTAATTAGTTGCGAGAGCCCTGAGGGTGACTCCACATCCAGCACCAGGCTCCAGGTCAGTCAGAGGAGGGTCATCTTGGAGAATAAGGCAGTGACTTACCGGAGGAAAGGTAGACTTACTAGCTTAAGATACTTCTATTTTACAAGTTAAATAGACATTCGCAAAAAATATTGATGGCCAGCTAACGTTACGTATCATACCGGTAGCTTAAGTTAATTGGGCCCGGTTCCAACTCAGTGTCGCTCACATGAGTAAACTAACTGATAGCATTACGCTAACATCTACACACCATGATGGAACTGCTGACTGCCTCTTCAGATGAGCTGGTTCAAATATTTCTCCAAGAAGATAAAGACACCTGATGAAGGTGACGCTAGCCAGGTATCATTAGCCGTTTACTGGATCATAAATGATGATGGTCAGTAAAAAATAGTGTTCACACTGTAATCAGATGTGATGTGAGTGTAAATGATCTAACATTAATGTTTAATGTATAAGAGCTGTAATATCAGACAGGGATGAGCAGTGGAACAAAGTGAAGGAGAGCCGAGTGGAAGAGCAGGAGAGAGATGAGAGTAGAGGAGAAGAACCTAAAGCGGAACTCAGGTTGTCAGGCTGGGGCCCTACATGGGTTGAAAGAAATAGTCTGTTCCACTCAAGGCTCTACCACACTGATAATGGGAAGTGTCCATGAACCTTTTTTACCTTTCTTATTTTTTTGGCATAATATACATGTCAGTATTTCTGTTAAATAAAAATAATAATAAATTCAGTGTATTTCCGTTGTAAGAGCAATGATCAATAATGCCACTTTACTCTGTCCTGACAGGAATGTTCTGAATCAGGCTCTAGGGGATCAGCTTGCATCATGTATGCTGCTGAGCCTCTCAGAGAATTTCCCTGCAACAGAGCCTCAGAGCTCTTCTATTAAAAAATAAATAAATAAATGAAAAATTCATTGTTCTGAGCCTGGGTGCAAACTTTACCACTGATTCTACAGCACCATCAAGAAATAGTTATTGTTTTTATTTTTGTTAAATTTTTCGTTTTATTTATTTATTTTATTTTTACATTCAACCTTTAAAAGACATTTTCAACTGGCCATTTAATAAATAGGTTCCAAAAGTAAAATCTGCAGTCAAATGTCATTTGTTTACGTCGCCAAGACTCCATCTGCCCCCACTGCTGAAAAAAAAATCCTAGAGGAAACACTGACTCTGGTACAGTACCTTGACGTCCTTGTTGTTAATAGTTTCTACACAGCCCTTACTGATTTGATCTAACTGGAGATAGTCAGTGAACACAATACCAAACCTATTGGAATCACTGAAAAAAATCTGAGATGTGGCCAGCGATTACAGTCTGGGACCAGGCCAGCAAAAATGAACTTTAGTATGTTAATAACTACGGTGACATTTGCTTACTGTTGGAGTTCCTGTCACCAGAATTCTTCGGTGTCAGTGATTTTTCTTCAAGAATGTGTCATGTTGGTAACTGGAGACTGTCAAAGGTGTGCTTCTGTTTTAGTTGGAGCCCTCAACCCCCACTTTGTCATCAGTCTTTGTCTCAAGTTTTTGTATCAGATATGAAGAACCAATCTGTATTTTGAGCTGAATATTGAGTGAGCAGGGCTTTTTAGTTGATGTTTGAGTGAATGACCGATTGTGCCATGAAGACTAATTGATTTGTGTCTGCGCTACTCCAGGGAAGAAAAAGGAGGCACTCAACAACCAGGACAAGGACCGTGAACACATAGATGGAACGGTTGAAGATGAAAAGCAAAACAATATGAAAGCAAATGCACAAATACCAGAAAAGGGAGAGATTGTGGCTCAAGTTCAGCATAAGATTAAAGAGACTAAAGAGGATCTGGAATGTTCACAAGTAGCACATACACAAAGTTACACGTCATCCGTAAAAGTTACAGAGACCAACACTCAGAATGGCTTGTCAGAAACCGGCACCACTGGCTGCAGTGGTCAATCAAAAAAGAAGAAAAAGGGGGGCTCTTCTGGGGACACAGAAACAGTAGAGGAGCAGGAGAGTTTTACTACAGCAAAGCCAGAGACATCCTGTGATGTTCCAGTCTCAGGGAAGAAGAAGACAAAGAAGAAAAAGAAGGGCCTGAAAGCAAAGGTAGAAAAGGACAGGACTGAGGGTGACAGAGAGATCCCACCGGTAAGCTGTGAAGAAACCACAACACTGCTCAGTAAGGATGCTACAACTCCTGCCAAGAAGAAAAACAAGGGTCTGAAGGCCAAGAGGAAACCTGAGGGGACACTGAGCTCAGAAACAGATGTCACATCAGTAGGCTGTGAGGGTTCAGCAGAAGATGACACTACCACTGGACTCAAGAAGCTGACTGATTCTGCAGCCCCAGCCAAGAAAAGGGGTAAGAAGAGGAGCTTGAAGTTGGAGAAAGCGCAGAAGCTTGAGGCAAACACACAGGAGGTAGAGGCAGGGTGCACTGAGGCTGAGATCACGTCTGAATCATCACAACACACCACCGTTGTCCCGCTTAAAAAGATGACAAAGAAAAAGGGCAAGAGGGAGGTAAAAATGGATCAGACACTTGAAGAGCAATCTGCTGCAGATGGAAGCACCGTAACCCAACTTAAGAAGTTAAAGAAACAGAGTCAGAAAGAATTAAAGACTGCTGTGGAAGAGGAAGGAGCAGTGTCAGAAAGCCCTCAGGTGGTCGATGCTGAGAAACTGCTTTTTGAAATGAACATGACAACACCAACAAATAAGAAAAAGATTCCAAATCTGGCAGCAGCCCAGTTGAATGAGATCAAAAGGAGCGTAGATGCAGACCTCCCAAATGATGAAACTAAGTTGGTCTCATCCTCTGGGAAATCAACCAAGAAGAAGAGGAAGATCCCTGTGGTGTTTGAGTTTGAAGCTGAGGAGCTGGAGGCCGCTGCACTCATCAATGGAGTTGCAGGAGAAGAGACTGTTGCCAAGAAGACAACACCGGGCAATGTGAGTATTTAATGATGTTAAATGCTTTAGATCAGATTACATACTGAAATACAATTCTAACCGGATTTTTTATTTCAGGATGTTGATGAGGCATCCATGCCTGTGAGCAGCAAAAAGTCACAAAAGAAGGCAAGGGCAGGCCAAGGATCAGCGTTGGACTTCATCACCTTTCAGAGCAAAGCTGCAGTTCCAATGCCACTATTCTGCAAGACCAAGGGAAAGTCCAGCCCCCTGCCATCCAGCAAGAAGGTAAAATGAATGGACAGTCAGATATAAGCTCTCAGGGTTCAACCGTTTATTAATGTTGTATATTACAAAACCTGGACAATCAGAACTAAAATGACCTGTATGCTTAGAGACCAGCAGAGGTCGGAGAGAAAATGTTTACTTGTGCAAGTTAGACCTATGATCCTTTTAAGCTTATTAGTATTATAATGCACAGGTTTCAGATCCATTGAAATGCAGGGCTCCAGACTAACTTTCACAAGTAGCACTAGTGTTGATTGCACCAGCACATGAATAGGTTGCCCCCCTTCCACCCCTAAACACCCTTATTCTGGTACAGTGATACAAAACTTGAAGTTTGTAAAGTATTTGAATAGAAATGTGTATTAATTTTGTCACCACTCTTCTTCTGATATCAGTCCTATAAACTGCTCAGGCTAACTTCCTCACTGGCTTATCATCTGCTTATTGATGCTACTATTTTTCAGTGCTCCCTAAACGCTTTCCATGCAGGCTGTGGTAAATGCTAGCCAGAGTCTGAAAATTAGTTGGAAAAGAATGAAATAATGTATTCTACTGTTAGATTTGGCCAACTTGAAGTTGATCACGTTCACTTAATTGTATAAAGGCTTGCTGTTAACTGATTGCTGTTAATATTAGTTGGACTTTTCAGCCTCAGCGCTGTGTTAGCGATCCAGATTGAGTCTACTGAGGTCAGTTGAACTGACTCAGGCGAGCTCTCCCTACCTGCACCTGCACTCTGATCATTAGGTGTGTCTGAGTTGGAATTCTCTCTCTCTAAGTTTTTTTTCTGTCTTTGGAATACAGTAACAGTGAAATGGAAACCCACTGAGCTAACAAAGAGGAAAAAGTACTACTTTACACTGAAATAGCTAACAGAGGAGGTGTGAGTGATGGCTGGAGTGTCTCCAGATCAGCCTGATGATCATCATACACTTGTACAAATGTGACCTTGTGGAATTTTAACCACACGCTCTTGAAAAATGGAAGCATGTTCATGTCACACTTACATCAGAGTGAACTGTGGATGCTGAAGACCAGTCTGAAATGTGTGCAGCGGACGCTGAAAAAGTGAAGGAGCCAGACTGTGGCCACAAACTGACTTGGACCCTGTGGACAAATGATTTGACTCAAATCTTCCCTACTAGGAATTATTCTTCATTCAAACAGATTGTGAACTCCTTAGATGACAATACAACATGAACAATTTGCTGCCTCTGAAGAGCACCAATTATCACTGTGGAAAACGGAAGTGATTTTGATGAAGCATCACAGTTTTAAGCTTAGAATGGGTTTATTTACAGTGGAAATAGCTGTTCAGTTGAAAAGTTAAAATCTGGTGATTGTTTCTGGTTTTTGCCGTTTCTGGCGGTGTCATTCCCTTGTGTTCTTTTGTTGTGTGTTTGTTAAAGATACCAAGCCTTTAAAACAGCCAGTGGGTTTTGGGCTTCAGAGGGTTGAAGCAGCATTGAGGTATTTTTTTTACCAGTGAAATTGAATTCCACATCAAGCTGAACCTTACACGAGTTTTCATATTTTCTGGTCTTACATGGCTGTTCTGGCTAAAATGTAAGTGTCCTCCTTGTCTAGTCTGTCTATCTGTTGCTCAGGGCTGGTAGGTGGTTTCTCAGAGCCTTTTAACTGGTAACAGCTGTGTGCTGCTCCTGAAAGTTAATTCCCCTTCCACTGTTTTTATAAAAAATATTTATCAGTGGACCTTTTAAACTGTCCGTTTCAGAACAATAAAAATAAGATTTGCCAGTGTTTAACAGGGAGGGAAATGCATTTAAGACATAGACCTCAGTGATTTTCCTAGTTTACGTGAGGAAACAATTACATGAAATTCAGTTTCATTTGTATATTGCAAACTTGCAACTGTGACTCCACGCACCACCTTCAAGCTTAAAATCCAACAGACTGTAGTTAACTGTTGCTCCTGCCAAACTTTACTTAAATACTTATATATACATACACACACTTTCTTTTTTGTTTTTTTTAAATTTATTTTTGGGCTTTTCCGCCTTTAATAATAGTTGACGGTGAAAGAATGACAGAGAAACATGGGGAGGAGAGTGGGGGAATGACATGCAGCAAATGAGCCGCTGGCTGGAATCGGACCGCGGCCGCTGCGTCGGGGATTATAGCCCCTGTACATGGGTCGCCCGCCCTACCCGCTGAGCTATCTAGGCACCTGCACACACACTTCCTTACACCTCATGCACATCTTTTTTCACTCACATGCATATGCCTGCGTGCTTCATCTTTGTTTGCTGTTTTTCTATGTTATGTTTATGTGGCTATATGTGTCTGTAATTTACATGTGTATTTGTTCCTGCTGGCGCCTCTTGGCCAGGTCATGTTTGCAAATGAGAACTGGTTCTCCAACATTTTTACCTGGTAAAACAAAGGTCAGATAAAATAAATAAATGCAAATATAGCACTAAATCACAATATGTTATTTCAAGGCACTTCATATAGTAAGGTCACAGAATTATACAGAGAAAAACAACAAATCCAAAGATTCCTTTGAGCAGGTGGCAAAAAACCCACAATGAAATGAATAAAATACCAAGATAATAAATTAGGGCAAAAACAGACAAAGCAGTTGCATTCAGGTGGGATGAGCAGTCCTAAACAGGTGAGTTTTGAGTTTGGCTTTAAACAGGATAAATGAATCAATGTTCCTGAGTCCAGTGATACTGAGGTCCAGAGCAGCTGACAGCTCTGCTCCCCATATGTTTAATTACTCACCACTTCAATTTGCACTGTTGTGTTAATGAATTTTTGAAGTGCTATTATGTTTCTGTGAAGGCCTTCTAATTAACAGGGCAGATGTTCAGATGTCAGACTGAACATCTAGGAAAAAAAATGTGTGAAGCAGCACACACACACACACACATACACACCTGCAGAAATTCTTTGATTGTTGCAGTTTACACATTGCATATAATATTTCTAATAGTACTTAAGAGCAGTCTTTTCTATGGCCAGATATGAGAATAGCAGTTTGGTCCTTGCTCAAGAGTTTGGTCAAAACCTCAGTAAATGTTTTATTAGAATCTGTAGTTGGTCTGATAACAGAGACCATCTAAAAATTGGTTAAATTCCTTTTGTTTCAATTCCTAGAAAACTTTTCACCTCTCTTAAAATGAATCTCATTGCTATCACTTCCTGCTTTGTTCCATTCCTTGATGGTAACAATGATGTCTAGTGGTCTGTGATGCCACCTCCTCAGAAGCTGAAAAAAAGCAGAGTTAAATTATTATTTTTTTAAATACAGTAAGTGATACAGGTCAGAACAACAGAATTGGCATCAGCATGGTAACAATCATGAGAATCACTGATCCTATGTCCCTAACTGTCTAACTTCCTGTATTTATTTTACAGAAGATTCGAACTCCCAATTCGGAATCCAAGAAGGTGACCTTTGGTCTCAAGAATAATAAAACAGCTGGTAAGAAACTGTAAGGAATTTGCTTTTTAGTCTAAATAATAAAGATGCATTCAATACAAAAATCTGTGCAGTTTCAAGAATCAAAATACTGTAATACAAACAGGTGTTTTAATTAGCTGAAAGATAACAAGTTGATGAGTGGTGTTCTGTGCCAAATAATGAAAAATGGTGAGAACGTTGTGCAGTTGTCACTGCAGAGTGTGCAAACTGCAGGAAAGTAGCTCTTTAGGTGGGCTTGATCTTGTCTCTCATTTAACCCAACAACATGGACCAAGAAGAAACTGATCAACGTGGCACATACAAAAAACTCATCACTCACATCAACTGTCTGGACCTGAGTACCTACTAGCAACTTGACTACAACCTTATGCACCTTGTATTTATTTTTAATGCACTGACAGACCACTGATTAAATTCATTGCACAGTGTGCAATGACAAAAGGAATTCTGTGAAGGCTAATAATACTTCTCACTGTTTGTTACTTCAAAGAATATCAATTTATAGGACAACTGGCTGTCCATCAAGATTTGTGTTTCTCAGCCTCCACTTCATATAACTAAAATTAGGCAGATCAACATCACCAAAACTGTCAAGTGAATAAATGATATCACCTCATGTTTTTGTAGCAAGTCAGTGTGAAAATGCACTGAAAAAGAAAAAGCTGTTGGTCCACACCAGGTCGGCTAAACCGCAGGGATTAAAGCCAGCTTCAAAACAGTCAGTGATGTGTTTCAGCTTTTTTGTGTTTTGTTTGGACTTGAGTAGGATGTTGGGTGACATTTGATTTTTATCAGCAGATGAAATTTTTTATGACCCTTTATCCTATCCATGCACACACATGGCCTATTTAGAATCAACCAATAGCCTAACATGCATGTCTTTGTGCTGTATGAGAAGGCCAGATGACATCCAGGCTTTGTGGTCCATTCATGCAGAAGATAAGATTCAGAGGGAATTTGAGGCTATCCAGTTTTTGATATGCTTTAGGTCTCTTGTGGAAACACAGATCAGTTTACTGCAGGAACTTCTACCTCCTGGGATAACCCTTTATTTTTTGGAACCCCGACATGACATAGAAGACAATGTTGTACATTAGGTACATTTCTTGACTGTTCTTATTTTCCTGTCTTTCAGAGTTTAGGAAGACTGATCGCAGCCTGCTGGTGAGTCCAGATGGCTCATCACGAGTGCCATTTGACCCACAGCAAAAACCCAAGTTTGGGGTCTTAAAGTCTCCACCCACACCACTCTCCTCCAGCCTCAAAAAGACCCGGAAGAGCAACAAAACCAGCTCCAATTCTCCAAAGAGCACACCCAAACGTCGACCCTCGGCGGCTGACTTTTTTTAACTTCCTGCACAGACTGACCATGAATACAATTGTTCTCTGTGAGCCCTTGAATAACAGCCCATTTAGAAAAATATAGAAGTATTTTTGTGTATCTGATATCAGTGTTGGATTTCACTTCTTTGAGTGACTGTTTTGATAAAGCGACTTTTTTTTTTTTTTTGGTTTTCAGTTATACAATTTATTTGGAATGTTCCTTTTTATATATGATAAAAGTGTTCTACATCAAACGAACTACACACCACAAGTCTTTGAAAGAGAGTTTGTTATATTTGCAGCAAAAAAAATGTATAATTTTTTTAAAAAGGAGAGATTGGTGTTCAAGCGTGTTCTTGGGTGACATGCAGAATAAATACATCCAATGGTCTTCACCAAAATATTTGAGCAAGTAAATATGTGATTCTCTTTAAAACCACACCTACAGATCAAGGTGGTGTACTCAAATAAATGATGCATAAAATGGACATTTGGTAGTCTGTTTCATAATTTCTGTATCCTGATAAGTCACATACATGGAAAAGGCAAGTACACCCCTATATTTATCACACTCTTAGATTAATCAAATTAGAATAGAGCAACATGTGAAACCTGCCTTGTTCGTACCTTAATACACAGGGTCTGGTGTTGTCGTTGTTTAGGTGTCGTCATGCCGAGATCTAAAGAGCTGTCCAAGGTCTTCACAAAATAACCATTGTGACACAAACAGCTGTTTTTATTGTGGCATGTACACATCCATGAAAAAAGGATTAACTGGTGAGTGTTTAGACATGCTAACAGTTGTTTTAGTGATGCCAGTCAGTTGAAAACATTCAATTCAGACTTAGATATTTCAACATCTTTGAGTTATTTTGAACCACGAAGCCTTTTTTTTAACTTAATTTTTATTGTTTTTTGATTTGTTATCACGTACAAACAATGAACGTGTCCGTGGGGTTCCAATAATTGAGATTACAATTACGTAGGGCTTTACGATGCAAGTCACGTTTACTATGCCCAGTCCACTGTTTTGGTGGTTTCTCCTTGTTGAGTCTTATATTCACATCATTTGGGCCATTTTTCTGTTAGTACTGATTGTTGAATTCTCAATATATGTGTGAGTCTCTATGTCAAAGATCTCAACAATGTCTTTTCATTGGCTTAGGGTAGGAGGGTCCTCTTTGTGCCACTTCCTGGTGATAGCCTTCTTTGTTGCTGCTAAAAGAATTTTGATGAAGTAACAATCCTTACTTTGAACAATGTCTTTTGACATGTTGCTTAGATACAAGACCTCCCATGTGTTTGCTATTGCATATCCCAATATTGTCTTCAGCTCCACCCAGACTTCATTCCAGTTTTTATTTATTTATTTTCTTACATCCCCAAAAAATATGCATATGGTCCACATTCTTTTCTCCAAATAATCTTCAGCATGTCTGTTGTGTAGATGTAGATTTAATTTTTATCTTTGGGGTAGTGAAAAAACGTGATGTTTTTCCAACAGAAACTTTCATATTCTGGTACATGTGGTTGTTTGCTGTACTGCTTCTTCCTTGGTGCATTTTTTGAGAACCAGTCTTGTTAATTGACTCCAAATCATACTTGACCACGCTGTGAGAACACCTTATGTTTCTTCCTGTTTGTCTCAGATACCATCCAGCATCATGAAGTGCTTTAATGCCCCTCAGCTCTCCACGTTTTACCATCTTGAACAATAATGAGGAATTTCAAACTGAATTCATCTTTTTATACCCAGATTTGAGCCACTGGGCTTCTCTGAGGAGTCAGAAATGAATCAAGCATCACATCCATCTATCCATTATCTATACACCGCTTCATCCTCATTAGGGTCGCGGGGGGGCTGGAGTCTATCCCAGCTTACTTAGGGTGAAGGCAGGGGACACCCTGGACAGGTCACCAGTCAAGCATCACATTCAACCACTAAAACTAATTTTTCAAAGCGATTTTGGAAAATACCAGTGCTGTTAATTTAGAGCAGCTGTGGCATAAACCTTACATTGGATGGTGGTCTAGTAAATATGTTAAGTACTGTGTGTGTGTGTGTGTGTGTGTGTGTGTGTGTGTGTGTGTGAAACCAGAAGTTTACATGCACTGTACAAAGACATAAAAGCTTTTTTTTCTCACTGTCTGACATTAAATCAGACTAAACCTTTCCTGTGTTAGGTCAGTTAGGATTACCAAAATTATTTCTATTTGCTAAATGCCAGAATAATGAGAGAGAATTTTGAAAATATTTTCTTCAAAGAACTGGTGGAACTGAGTCAGGTTTTTGGCCTCCTTGCTCCACATGCTTTTTCAGCTCTGCCCACTAATGTTCTCCAGGATTGAGATCAGGGCTTTGTGATGGCCACTCCAAAACATTGACTTTGTTGTCCTGAAGCATCTCTGTAGCTAATCTGGCGGTATTGTCCATTTGAAGACCCATTGGTGCCCAAGCTTTAACTTCCTAGCTGATGTTTTGAGATGTTGCTTCAATATTTCCACATAATGTTCTTTCCTCGTGATGCCGTCTATTTTGTGAAGTGCACCAGTCCTTCCTGCAGCTAAACACCTCCACAACATGATGCTGCCACCCCCGTGCTTCACAGTTGGGATGGTGTTCTCAGGCTTCAAGCTTCCTTCTTTTTCCTCCAAATGTAACGATTGTCATTATGGCCAAACAGTTCAGTTTTAGTTCCATCAGACCACAGGACATGTCTCCACAAATGAAGCTCTTTGTCCCTGTGTGCACTTACAAACTGTAATCTGCTTTTTTATGTTTCTTCTGGAGTAATGTCTTCTTTCTCTCTGAGCAGCCTTTCAGCCCATGTTGGTACAGGACTGGCTTCACTGTGGATAATGACTCTCTGACCAGCTTCAGCAGCCTCTTCACGAGGTCTTTAGATTTTCTTCTGGGGTTGATACACACATTTCTCACCAAAACACTTGATCTCTGGGACACAGAACCCGTCTCCTTCCTGAGAGCTATGATGGCTGGACATTCCCATGGTGCTTATACTTGCGTATAATTGTTTGAACAGATGAACATGGAACCTTCAGGCATCTGGAAATTGTGCCCGATGACCAGACTGGTGGAGGTCCATAGTTCTCTTCCTGATATCTTGGATGAAAAGGAAGCAGTGTGTTTGAGGTGTACCTCCAATTAACTCTGATGTTGTCAATTAACCTATCAAAAGCTTCCAAAGCCATGACATCATCATCTGGGCTTTCCCAAATCGTCTGAAGGCATGGTAATCTTAGTGTATGTGAACTTCTGAGAAAGTAATAAAAAAATTCTTTCTCTCAAATTGTACTGTCATTTAACAAATAGAAATAATCCTAACTGACCTAAAATAGGAAAAGTTTAGTCTGATTTAATGTCAGACAGTGAGAAAGAAAGGTCTTGTGTCTTTTTATGCAGTGTATGTAAACTTCTGGTTTCAACTGTATGTAGCAGATGTAACTGTTTCCAAAATATTAATTGATACCCTTAAATCAACAGTCTTGCTGTATATTACACTAATGAGCTAATTTTAGCTTTATCTGAAGTTGTGGGCAACAACTTTATTCACGAAGTGACCTGTTCTTGTGAAAGAACGGTTCAAAGACATTTCACTTTTCTTTTGGCGATTTCACGTCACTTCCGGGTCACTCTCTCTTTTTATTGAGTAGGGTGTGTCTGCAGAGCCGGGGGCTACACTCTCACTGATAGGACCGTGTTGAGCCAAAGGATGTAACAGCAATTCTCGCCATGATGAACAGTCACAATGTGATACTGATCGTGAATTGTTTTATTATTTACTGTTATAAACATTTCTGTTGTGTTTATTTGCGTAGCAAGAGAAATCTTCATTAAACACTGCAACCAGTCAGGTTTTATCAGATGAAAGCTGCAGTAAAACCAACGTTCAGCTTGTTTGCTGATTTGTTTAACTGAGTCATAGTGCAGTTTTGGCAGCTCAGCTCAGAGATGATGATGAACTATGGACAGCATAATAAAACTTCATCAGATGACAAGCATGTTGAAATGATCTCTGTCTACAATAAGCATCTACAACCTTCAGTGTGAATGTTTAATACTCACTGTTCTACAGTTGTAATGATGTTAATAAAGCTGGTATCTGAACTGGTCCCAGTTTAAATCAGAGTTGTTGATACTGGATTCATGTTAGAGGTGCTGGTTCTGTCACAGTTTACTGAGAACCTTTATGGAGCTCAGTCATCAGTTATTCCTCCTGTGACCAGTTCAAATGTCTGCTGTAAAAAGGTTCAACAGTGAAACTACATTTCCTCCACAATGTGTGTTTTCATAGTTAGTATTTCATTATGACACCGTTTGTAATATTGAGACATTTAGTGTGTCCTTTATCCAGTTCTAGGATTGGCTCTAATTCAGATCTATTTATGTTTGCACAGTGATCTAGTAAAGGTACTGTACATTTTGGCCTCCTGTCCTCTCTGTTTTGAAGGCGCACATAAGAACTCAGTGAGGGAGATCCCTCCCCACATTGAACACCAGATTTATATTTGGGTGGAATAAACCTTTAATATTAGAGGTACTTGGACATGTAGTAGTACATTCTGTGGAATAGTCCTTAAATAAGTTATTTAAATTCTAAGTATATTTTGAGTAAAATCTTCCGTTAAAACCTTAAGTCCTGCACCTTAGTGATCATCCGTTGTGGTAGGTGGCG